TGGGCCCTCTTTATTCAATTTTATCAGTTCGTAATCTTCCCTCGGCAACGAAGCACTGCAAGGCACGGCAATATGCAGATGATGTTTCCCTCTACAAAGCTGGCAAGGACCTAAACCAAATCACACTCGATCTCGCTGAGGATATTACCATTGTTCGTGATTTCCTGGCTGCACGAGGTCTCTGCCTCAATCCTGACAAGACTCAGTTCATAATCTTCAGGTCGAAGTTCACACCTTTGACCCCTGACGTCAGCCTTCAACTGAACAACACCTCAATTGCCCCTTTGCCTGAAGTGAAGTACCTTGGCATCGTTTTGGATGAACACCTTACTTTCTGTGCCCACATCGCCCACCTTGGCTTGAGCGCAAGATTGGAAACAAGATCGCCGTGTTCAGGAAGATACGACACCAACTCACGGAGCACGCCAAGAAAACATTCTACATATCGTCCATCCAATCAGTTCTCGAGTAGATCTACGGGTCGAATGCGTTTGCTCACTGCCTTCGTGAGGGTCAATATGAGCGCCTGGTTCGCTTGACTCGGTAGACGTGCCTTGCGCACGGTGTTCAACCTCACTCGCTTCAACAGCATCAGTGCACTACAAAAACGCAACCATTTACTCCCACTCGCCGCTCGGTATCAGCTCAGACTTTTTGTTGCGCAGTGCATCGTCACATACAAACTCCTGTACACGCTCTCAAGTTTCTGCAGCCCTTACTCTTCCCCCTGCTTCAAATCGGTATGGTCTTTTTTCTCTTAGTTTTCTAGGCTCAGATCGTTGGAACTCTCTACCTGCTGACATTCGCCTATGCACATCTGTTTCTCGCTTCCGTAACCTTGTATTGGCACATTTAGGGTACCCTGTAAGAAGGCCTTAGGCCTGTGGGGATTGCCCTATCAAAATAATAATAATAATACGAAGTAGTGGTTGCGACTTCGGCGATAATTTGTAAGAAAGGGTTTGCTCCCCACACCGGAGCTCGCGCTATTCCGCCGACTTTACTTGACACTTGACTGACTCACGACTGCCATCCAGAGCACACGAGAAGTCCATCGAACCTTCGACTCGGCAAACCTGCAAGAAAGCACCACTCCCTGCTCAATACACAGTGTTTCGGGGAATTCACCCCTCATCAGTTGAGCTTGAGTAGGCTGAGGAAGATTGTGCCTGAAGAGCACCACTTATATAGTGCTCTCCAGGCACAAACATCACCAGGGATACAAACTTACAGAGACGCTCCGCTTCCAGCGCGACAAACACCTCGTGAACACCAGATAGCAGCGTGAGTCAGTGTCGCTCCTGGACGGTGAGACAGACGTCGAGGACCCTGGTGCTGCTATCTGGTGTTCACGAGGTGTTTGTCGCGCTGGAAGCGGAGCGTCTCTGTAAGTTTGTATCCCTGGTGATGTTTGTGCCTGGAGAGCACTATATAAGTGGTGCTCTTCAGGCACAATCTTCCTCAGCCTACTCAAGCTCAACTGATGAGGGGTGAATTCCCCGAAACACTGTGTATTGAGCAGGGAGTGGTGCTTTCTTGCAGGTTTGCCGAGTCGAAGGTTCAATGGACTTCTCGTGTGCTCTGGATGGCAGTCGTGAGTCAGTCAAGTGTCAAGTAAAGTCGGCGGAATAGCGCGAGCTCCGGTGTGGGGAGCAAACCCTTTCTTAATAATAATAATAATACTGACAGTTAGTTTAGACCATTGTCGCGTCGAGGAAGACATGAACTCCAAGGAGCTAGAGGTGCGTCACTACCTCATTCCAAACAATCGCTGCAAATCGCTTAAATAAAACGTCGCTAAACTTGACAATGGGAAAACGCCAAAATTAATAATTTCAAACTTGGACTTCACGGAGAATTTCAAAGTTTTTAGGAAATTAGAGGCCACATGCCACGTCAGATATGACGGAGTTGACAGCCCAGAAATTGCGTAGAGGATCTACGCGTTCGACAGCCTGCGAAAGTGTATACTGTAAATATACAAAATTTCGGCGCTGCAAAATTTCGGCACTTCACGATTTTTGACATTTCGGCGGCGATGTATTTTCGGCGTGGGGTAGAGGGCATGGTATTACGACAGATGCTGTGAAAAATTTCACCGGCGTTTTAATTTAGGCGTTTTGGGTCGGTGCCGAATATAGCCGAAATTAAATAGCTGCCGAAAATTTGTATATTTACAGTACTTTGCAACGACCTGATACTTGAAAAATTGACTGAAAAGTTACTTATACCGTTATCTTTATCGGTTAGTTAATTCTTCGTAACCGGTCTGCAACTGATCGGACTAACCGTTTGAGCCCTAATTAATTATTTATATTCCACACTTTTATTATCCGATGATCTTGTTTTGTTTGCTATGAGTATGATTCCGTGATTTTCTGTTGGTTGCTTTTCTGCTGTGCGAATAAATGCAGTGTCCACACGCGTGTGAACTAAAAAATTAAAAAGGTGCAGAATCCTGAGACCTGGTGTAGATCTACCCGTACTTCCGTAGTCATATCATGCCATGGTATAGTATTCAAGAGGCAGCTGGCACCCTTCAACTCTGTGCAGGCCAGGACTGCGGGATCGAGGCGGCGATACATGCCATGCAGCAGGCGTTCGACCAGGAGGATACCGAAGCAGTCTTAATGGCAGATGCCACGAATGCGTTTAACACGCTGAACAGGGAAGCGTGCCTGCGCAACATGCGTCACCTATGCCCATCCCTGGCGGCAGTCGTTATTAACAGCTACCGACAACCCGCAAAGCTGTTTGTTGGGGGCAGCGTCATCATGTCGGCAGAGAGCACCACCCAAGGCGATCCCATCGCGATGCCGATGTATGCGCTGGGCATTCTACCCCTCATTCGTGCTCTCTCGGCTGAGGGAACGATCCAGATGTGGTTTGCAGACGACTCCTCCGCGGGCGGCAGAGTCCAACGACTACGCGCTTGGTGGGATATTCTGCGACAGAAAGGACCGGCATATGGGTACGCAGCAAATGCTGAGAAATCAGTCCTGGTTGTCAAGGCCGGTCACCTGACGGAAGCTGAGGACGCCTTTGCAGGGACCGGTGTGCACATTACCACCGACGGCCACCGGTTTCTAGGTGCTGCACTCGGATCGACGGAGTTCGTCCAGAGCTATGTTTCCCAGAAGGCAAACGGGTGGAAACACGAGATCGTGTCCTTGGCCAAGATTGCCGAAACCCAGCCACAGGCTGCCTATGCAGCATTCACGCAAGGCCTGAAGCATCGCTGGTCCTTCCTGTGCAGAGTCATGGAGTGTGCTGCTGAAAATCTTGGCCCTCTGGAAGCCACCATCACCAATGTCCTTATTCCTGCCCTGTGCGGTAAGCCAGTAAACTCACGTGAGCGAAGGGTCCTTGCTTTCCCATGCCGTGAAGGAGGCCTCGGCTTAGTCGACCCCACCACCTTGGGCGACCAGTTCGGGCATCGGCAGCGATAACCTCGGCGCTCGTCCGCAAGATTCTGGACCAGGACACCCAGATTGGCCATGTGCTGGACCTGGCACGGTCCACTAAGAGGGAGGTGGCAAGTCGTACCCGCACTTCAACGGCCCAAGCAGCCAAAGAGTTCATCCTTACGCAGAACACTGATATCCAGCTCTGTGTCGGTCTGGCGGCGGAGAAGGGTGCGTCGGCTTGGCTGACCTGTAGACCCCTGAAGGCCCATGGCTTTGCCCTCTCGAAGGGTGAGTTCCGGGATGGCATTGCGCTCCGCTATGGCTGGCCGCCAGCTCACCTTCCATCGATCTGCCCGTGTGGTGCATCGTTCACCGTCGCCCACGCCTTGTCGTGCTCTCTGGGTGGGTTTCCCTCACTGAGGCACAACGAGGTACGAGATGTTACGGCTGGTCTCCTCAAACGGGTCGCCAACAACGTCACCACTGAACCACACCTGCATCCGGTAACTGGGGAAGCATTCCGCTACCGCTCTGCCATAACGGACCCCCAGGCTAGGCTGGATATAGCAGCGAGTGGTGTCTGGGGTGGGCGTTTTGACCGCACTTTCTTCGACGTACGGGTTTTCAACCCTTTCGCGGCTTCAAATCGCTCCACCTCAGTACCCTCCTGCTACCAGCGCCACGAACGGGAGAAACGCCGCTGCTATGAGGAGCGTGTTCGAGAGGTCGAACATGCAACTTTTTCACCTCTCGTTTTCTCCTCAACAGGCGGCATGGGCAAGTCGGCAACAGCCTGCTATAAGCGGATTGCCGGGCTCTTGTCCGACAAGACGAAGGAGCCGTACAACCGTGTAATGGCGTGGATTCGCTGCCGACTTGGCTTTGCTCTGGTTCGCTCCAGCATGGTTTGTTTGCGTGGTGCTCGGCGACGCCCCATGCGCGTCAGCGATGTGGCGGATGCATCTGCTACCTTGGCCGTTGCCGAGGCCCGCTGCCCTGTGTAACTGACTGCAAGTGGTTCCTAAATCAGTTCCTATTCCTCATTGTTGCTTCTTTTTTCCCCTCTAGTTTTCTTTTACGGTATTATAATTTCACGGAGAAGGCGGAGAGCCCGAACGTGTGCAGTTTTATGTTTATTATTTGCCATGGCGACCCCCATACGTCCAAATAACTGGCAGGGCAGGGTTGGGCCTTTTTCTTTCTTCTCGGATTTATTTTCATGACATGCTCACTGATTTTACTCATAAACAGACTCAGGACAGTAGTACTACTACTAGTACTATGTAGACTACATGTACGATCGTACGAGTACATCATAATATCGATCCAAAAAAAAAAAAAAAGTATAGTGGCCGTAGACGCTTGTGCCAAAAAATACTTTGCGGCCAGGATATATCGATAGCGCTATGCATATGGCATGCACAGACCTGACAGACACGTAGACCCTCTCTCTACGACTCGTACTGAGTACATGTACAGTATACACCACATGCACAGGCACGCAAGAGTTGGCAAGAGTCTCCTCAGCTCACCGTACCAAAAATGACGTAAGTACAGTGTTGTAGCTTGTGCAGTTTTGGTCAAAAGCAGCTGCCAGTGTTTCGAAAGGTTTGTTTTGCTTGCACATCGTCCAGTGTAGATAGCCTTTATGTTCTCTCTCCGTCATTGCATTTTTAGGTTTGTTGTTCCTCGACTTCTAGCTCTTCGTTCCTGTGTATGTATATCGTCTTTTGAGGAAGTTTTTGTGACAGTCGTAGATAACCTATAATAAGCTCCTGAAGAGAAATGGATCAAGAAATTGCCGTCGCCTGTCGGTTCATTCGAGAACGCCTGCCGAATGACCTTCCGAAGTCACAGACGAGTAGGTTTGAAGTCGAACTGCGTGAAGTGTTGAAACGGCTGTACACCGGCCATTGGTACCCCGAAGAACCAAGCCGTGGCAGCGGGTATCGATGTCTAGCTAGTCGTAATGGGGTCTTGGATCGGAGCATTCTTCAAGCGGCAGAAACAGCCAGCATAGATCTGGCTCTTTTTGTGTCGGCTTTTCCTGTTGAGCACTCTTCGATCTGGGTTGATCCGGCGGATGTCAGTTATCGTCTATACGAGAGGGCTCCGATTATTTGCTTATGGCAAAGAGGCAAGTACTGCGACAGTCAGCAGGCTAATCTCGCACCGCCGGTTGGACCACCCCGTCGCACTGCTCATCAAGATGTCGGCAGAGCTTTCACGAGACGCGACTTCAACTCACAACTCACCAACGCGACTCCTTTCAAAGGTCCAGAGCCCAAAAAAGCATCATGCTGGTCTTCCAACTACTTTCCCTCCGGCGGTTCGGCTACTGTCTTCTCCATCGATAGCGAAGTTGACCATGGCATGGAATTGCCCCGAATGGATGCTTATCCGTCTTCCTTGGACAGCCCGTACAGCAGCAGATCAAGCTCTCCACCATCTTCAATGAGCCCGGACACGTCCGAAGAGGAGGACTTGCTGTCACGCGAGGATACTCTTCAGCGCAATAATGGACTGGCTTTCGGTGTGCACTGGACCCAGGCTGAGCAGCGCAGGGCGTTCGCCAAGAAGTCCTCCGGTCTGTCCGGCACTGCTCCTGTGTTTGCTCCACGTACTGTATATAACAACAACAATGCCAATAATCATCATCATCACCACCATCATCAACCTCATTCCAGCCATCCTCACTGGCATCATAGTTCTCGTCTTGGGGCTGAGCGTCCGTTGCAGCAAGCCCGGGCTTAGTTCAGTCCAATCCCCGCATGGCGTCACCAGGAGTCTTGGGGCGTGAATCCACCAAGTAAGAATTTATTCTGTACAGTTAGTTTTGTGTTGTATTCGTTTGTGGCTGCCATTGTCATCGTACCCGTTCCTGTACTAGCTGTCACCTCTGAGCACTGCGTGTTTCCCTTCTTTAGCCCCTGCCCCTTGTCCCATGTACAAATTCCCTTTCCCCTGGCACCTAGTAGTATTCAATATTTTAATTGTGTGTGCAACTCAACGGAGTGTAACTCGTTTAGCAATTAGTTAGTTTGTTAGTCTCGTACGCTTCTATAGGAACGTACATCATACCCGGCAATTCCCCGATAGTCGAGCACCAGTACCGTCAGGACACTGTTACCGTCTTATCCCATGTGTATGTGTATCTGTGTGCGCACCTGGCTTGTGCACCGGAACTTGTACCGAGTCCCACGGCCCTACATCCGCTCATGCGGTGCAGTGGCATAATATTACTACTACTACTCCCCCATTACGTATCTGTACCTGATAAGAGCTACTACCTGGCCTATCTAAACCCCCATCGTACCACTGCTTCCCCTTGGCATCATATCCTGTCCTAAGTGTTTTATACTGTGTGACTATCCCAACAGACTAGCCTGCACTATATGCAGCTAGATCCCCTTGGTTTTTTTCTGACTCCCTCAAACTGACCAATCAACTATAAGTCCTATTTACCCGTCGTATTTGAACCCATTCAGCAGCAGCCGCCACAGCAGCATCTTTCTCACTAGTTAGTTTCAACTCATGTTCTTACATTGTAGTTATTATTTTGCATCAGTAGGGAGGGACATGCTCGCTGAACATGCTCCGCTGCCGTGGCGTTTATTATTTTGCCCGTCCCTGGGGCCCTTTGTCCCATTTCGTCAATTTCCGCCTTTGTAGAGAGCAGTTGTGTACTAAGTGCTGAGTTTGCTGGCCGGACTCACTTGCTACTAGTCGCTAGCTTTGGAACTCTTTGACGGGTTCATAGAGCTGGTGTATATGTGTATGTGTACACTTTAGCTGTGCAGCTGTTGCTGCTGCTGCCTACGCCGTATTTCTTTGTTTTTATTTGGCTCTGTGTGCCGTTCATTGCCTGGCTGTGCTATTTGAGCGGGTGTTGGTGGTGCTTGTACCGCTACTGCGCTTACTCACTTGATTCCTCGTCACATGTTCTCCACTAGTTCTACCATACAATACAAAATCACACACACAATATCTACGGCTGCTACCGTACCATTCATTTTTTTTCTATCATGACCCTTGCTCGCGGCATAAGCGGACCTGGGTTAATGAGAATAGCAATCATAATTGTTTGGACGTAGTGCCCCCCCCCCCCCCATCTATCTATCTCACTTGCTTTTACTTCTCCACCCATTCTAGCGCACGTAATAATATTCTGCAATATCAGCATACAGCCATACGTGCAAGTACATGTTGACGATACGCCGTAGTAATATTTCTTGCAGCCATGCCTGCATGACTGATCATAGCACACAAATCCCAATTATATACGACAATTCTTTTAGTCCTAAGCGTTCTTGACTAGCCTTCTCGTTTTCCCTTCACCATTTCTTCTTGCCGTTGAGTTGTTCTTGTTCGTTTGCTTTGCCTCTCGCTGTGTGTGTGGCTCCGCTCTCTGTCCGTGGATTTTTTCCGCGTTTCGTTGTCATTCTGTGCTGTGAAGACATGATAATCTTCTTTGGTGGATGCTCCGCACAGGCGCGCTTCCGTACAACTAACTGTGTTGCACTTGGCTGGTGATGTGTGTGTGTGAGCGGAGAGGGTGTGTGGCTTACAAATGTTGAGACACTACGAAGGAGACACGGTTGCCGTGTAATGCAGCATGCACATGCATAAAAGGTAGTCCTCTGTGTGGCAACGTGTCCCATATTGGGGAGGTGCAACTATTTTGTTTTAATACTACATTTTGTGAGTATAATGGTAGATCTGCACAGCTCATGGCTTTTCGCCTTTAGGCACTGATCCTGGCATATCCGCACTACGGGCAAGCTGTGTTCAGTTGAACCGTATTAATTTTTGTCTGGCCCCGCCAAAGCAAGGGCAGGCATGGTGATGGATCCACTTCATAGACCTTATGCCTTCTCCGAAATAGGCCATTGCCTACGATACTAGCAGTTGCACATACCCCGGTACTGTTGACAATGAACCAAGAGTACATAACCCCATGTACTCTTGAATGAACTGATAGCGGTGGTGGTGAGAAAGAGAGCTCTGTACCAGGGCGTAACTACTACCTACCAGCTTAGAGAGCGTGTATGCCGGCAGGCATGTGTTGGCCGCCATTTTTTCCAGGTGTGCCCTTACCACCCAGGGGCGTCGGAAGGTATTTTAGTGTGCCACGGTCAGCCATCTGAAGTACAACTTACTCGTGGGGGAGTGGTGGCTGAGCAGAAAGTTTTGGAAATTTAGGCCCAGATCAAGTGTATTTTATTGATTCGCGGGGCACCAGGGGCAAAAAGTTGTACGGTCAATACCGTAGTGACCGTACCGTGTCCGACGCCCCTGACACCATATTATTGGATTATGTGACCCAGGACAGGCGGAAGCAGTTTTCATTCGGTTCGGTCGTACCATAGCCTTTCATACAGTTTGTGTATAATATGGCAGGGACATTATTAAGTCATACATCCCTCCTCAGCAGTACACATGCATTGGCAGTTACTACCGTACTTACCCACACGCATGCGCTTATAAGCGAAAATTTGCTGCAAAAAAGATCTTTGGCTATGTAAACATGTTCGGGTAGAAGCCCATGCGCAATACAGGTTTGTCTGTGTCCTAAACAATGGTGTCATCACACTACTTAGTGGTATATTTCGCTCCCGCCTTTTCACCAATAGTGTTCACATATAAGCACATGCGCTTATATCCGGACATAAGCACATGGGCTTATATGTGCGGAAGTACGCTAAGTTGGTCCGGTATTAACCTGACCAACCGGACGGGTTCCGGCGGGCCTGTGTACTCTAGGCGTTACTAAGTCTATACTTGTGCGTGGAGACCTGCATTCCCTGACATAGGCCCTGGCCACCTATTACACCATACCGTGACGTGTTCTAAACTGAATCTGCAGAGAGCTAGAAGTAGCTGCATGATCTGACCTTGTCTGGTCAGACCGGCAGTGGACGCCTGTTACATTGTATACAGGTAAACTGGTAACACAATGCTGTAACTAGACGAGAGTCCAATGCATGCGACTAACTTGTGCAACCTACTCGCGAGGTGTGACGCAGAGTCCAAGACTCGGGGTCACTGGTAATCGGTACGACTCCCTGCTGGTAATGTATAATCTCCTGACGTCATGCTCTTCAGCCTGATTCAATCAGCATGCACTGATGAGCGCTGGGACCTTGTCTTGCTACCGTGATCAGGGCGTCTTGACAACAACACATGACCAACTTACATTTTATTTACTTACTTTAGTACTGAAGTGTTTTTTTTTTTACAAAGACCACTTTAAACGCAAAACATGAGCTGCAGCTAGGGAAGCATGCATGACATGAATCGTGGCAGACTGGCCTGGCACGAGCGAAACTTCCTAAGCTGGTTGTGTTTCTCAACGCAATTGTACAGCAGGTTGTAACGCGGACGTGCGAACTATACTTAAATACGACCAACCAAATATATGCACCGCCCGTGCTCATTCCGTGCCCTGCGGTACAGGCACCAATATGAACAAGCAACAAAGCAAGCAACCAGGTGCAATGCTGGACACAGGACACTGGACACGTGCAGGGACCAAGCTTCCTTCCTCCATCACAACAGAGAACAAACACTTCAGCATCCGGTCAGGTGGTGATGTCCTTGTGTTTCAAAACGAGAAACATAACGTGTATTTCAAAGTACATGTACACGCTGAGTCATCCTAGCTTATGATACACAGCGTAGTACATGACCGTACAGAGAGAGCAGATAGGCAGAGCAGTACATATGTAAGTACATCACAAGTACAAAATCAGCACAAAAAGTCAAGAAGGGAACCTATCATGGAAAACCGATAAAAAACGCGCTATTACTTAAAAACAGAACACACGCACACAAAATTTGTATGGTAGTAAAAACGACATGATCGCGACTATACAAACACACACATATAAATCGGAGGAGCCTCGGCGAACTCCAATCGGAGTTCTACGAACCTCTTTGTAGCATGCGAGTACACACATACTGAAGTGCAGGTATGTGTCCAGTCACTGTAGCTGACAAATACGGATATCTGGTGCACTGCAGCACCGAGATTCTACTATGCAAACACATCTACCATATACCCACGTACACACCCACGTGCACCCCCCCCCCCACACACACACACCATGTACACACACACTCTCTCTCTCTCTCTCTCTCTCTCTCTCTCTCTCTATCATAAGTTACTATAACTGAGAAGGGCTAACTTTAACTTGGCTCTGGTTCGTCGAGTATTGCAACTCGATCTCCACTTTGTCTGTTTAGTTCTCGAGCGGCAGAACTGCGCTGCTTGCGGTATATACAATAGTCTACAACGGCTAGTATCATGTGCACAAACCAGCCCAGTGACACTATCCATGATCCAATCTAGACACAAGCAAAAACACACACCATGTACACACACACACACACACATATTATACACGCGAACACACACACACACACACGCACTTGTACTTTTTTACTTGCTCACTGCCAAAACTGGTCACATGGGTCTCCCCGGGAGAGGGGAGAGAGACTCAAAAGGAATCGTGGAAAGATGACTCAATTGGCCATTGAACCACCCAGCGGCCGACACCCTCTGAAATCCCCAAACTAGGGTGGACTTGAAATGATCCCACTTATGGGCTCACCACGCCTCAGTAATTGGGTGAGGACAAGGTGCAGAAAAAGGATTGACGGCATCAGGGTATCCGTCCCGGGATCCAACTGCAGTTACCCCTGCCCCCAGTGAAGGTAATACTTGCTACTAGTGTGAGTGGCTAAATCAGAGTGGATCTGATACAAGCTTCACTAGCACCATGATTACACAAGAGTTAATCTAGCCAGAAGACACACACACACACACACACAGAAGACATCCAGCCAGGATTTCAGCGGCAGCGAAGCACAAGCCCAATAACAGAACCTGATGCTGCATTTCCTGCAGCTGTTCGTTCACGTCTTGTTGCTCCTCTGAGCTGAGAGATGCAGAGGATATGGAATGGTGCGATGTACATGTACCGGTGTGGAATGCTGTGATGTACCGGTGTGGAATGCTGTGATGTACCAGTGTGGAATACTGTGATGTACCGGTGTGAAATGGAGTGGCACTTGGTATTCCACAGCGCTGTCGAGCGCATATGGGTGCAGTCCCTACCCTAGTGAGCAGCAGTGAAGTCGGTCAAGTCAAGTCCATACCAACAAACAGTGTATCAGCTGACGTACCTGTGCCACGGAGAGCGAGTTGTGCCACGCATAGTGACCAGCCACGTCACCAGATTTCTTCGTCAGGTAGATGTCTTTGCAGTTACTAAGAAAAAAAGACAGAGACAGAGACAGAGAGAGACAGAGAGAGAGAGAGAGAGAGAGAGAGAGAGAGAGAGAGAGAGAAAAGAGAGAGAGAGAGAGAGAGAGAGAGAGAGAACAAGCCGGCTTTGAGGGATCATAATAAAGCAATGCGAACATCAGGCCATCGTCAGTGATATCAGTTCAGTAAATTTTATCCCGTAGCTATGGAACAGACTTTATGTTAGTAACTAACGTCTGGCGCTAGCCAGGGTCCACACAGCTTTAAAGGGGAAGTTAAGCCTAAAATCAATTTTTCACCAGTGGTAGTCTTTGGGGTGCTGAGTCGAATGGTCTTGGTCCGAGAAAGCTGAGACGGTCCCTTCCTCCTTTATTCTAGTGGTGTGCACGGGTAGTCGGGTACCCGTGCTACCCGTGAGGACCTCGGGTAGACGGGTACCGAATAGTACCCGAAAACCCGAAGTCGCAGATGACATCATGTACAATGCACGTGTACAAATAATTCACGCATATCTACCCAGTGCGAAAGGGAAGGGGCCAGTGTGCCTTGTGGTCTTACCATGGAAACATTACCCGATCGGGTACCTATGCTACCCGTGGAAAACTACCCGGACCCGATACCCGAAGAAAATGCTACCCGACTCACCTCTACTTTATTCCCAATCGAACTCGCGCACTTCCACCAAAACTGGGTGACTGCGCCCTACTAGATGGGGATTTGTATGCAAAATGTCACTAAAAGTGCCATTCCGTTCTTATAAAAGCATGGATGACCGCGATTGGCCCATATGTTGTAGTCTTTTGGACGCTGAGTCGACTGGTTTTGGTTCGAAAAGGCTGCGATGCAGCGTTCGGCCCTTATTCCCAATCGAACATGGCTGAACAAGCGGTCACGTGCTCCTGCGCACACTAGTCACCCGGTCACCGCGCCAGCAGACAACAACTTTCACACCAAGGTTCAACTCAAAGATTCAAAGGTTCAACTCGAGTGACAGAAATTCGCTCAAACATGCTGTAAGTTGTAGCCTGCAGGCACGGTGACCAGGTGACTGGTGTACGCAGGAGCACGTGACTGCTTGTTTAGCCATGTTTGATTGGGAATAAGGGCCGAACGCTGCATCGCAGCCTTTTCGAACCAAAACCAGTTGACTCAGCGTCCAAAGGACTACAACATATGGGCCAATCGCGGTCATCCATGCTTTTATAAGAACAAAATGGCGCTTTTAGTGACATTTTGCATACAATTCCCATCTAGTAGGGCGCAGTCACCCAGTTTCGGTGGAAGTGCGCGAGTTCGATTGGGAATAAAGGAGGAAGGGAGCGTCTCAGCTTCCTCCCTCGGACCAAGACCATTCGACTCAGCACCCCGAAGACTACCACTGGTGAAAATTTGATTTTAGGCTTAACTTCCCCTTTAATATTTACTGCGAAAATGACATACGTTTTGTGTAAGACGGCCTTGGAGAGGTTCTTGCAGAAGACGAGAAGACCGGCTGATATGACAATAGTCGTGACAATAGCGACGATCAACATGCAGATCATGAAGAAGACGTCGCATAGAACAGTCCACGAGTGACTAAAGAAGATAGTGTCATGTGCCCATAAGTGTTCACACATACACACACGCACACACACACACGCACACACACACACACACGCATACACACACGCACGCACACACGCACACACACATGCATGTACAGACAGAGAGCAGTCAGCCATGATAATTTGCACACTACTTTCCAAAGCATGGGACTGTTGCGTTTACACACAGCGGATCAAATCACAAGCCGAGGTCAGGTGCAACAGTGGGTATAGCTCACACATTGTACTGGTTTTCAATGGCATGGCAATTTACAATGGGTCCGTGGAGCTTACAGCGGTGACTAATTTCAGTGGGTGTTGTCTCGCAGGCCTGGATTTCATGACTGGCGGAGGACTGAAATTGTATCAGTGTGTGGTCCTGCCATGCTGCAATGCCATGTTGAACTGCATGAATTAGTAGTTGAAAGTGAACTACAGTCGACTCCACTTGTAACGAACTCGCATATAGCGAATTTCGTGATATAGCGAACCCTGGTCCATGTCCTTGTTTGAACCCATACAAAATTGACCCTGTATAGGGAACAATTTTCATTTGTAACGAACCAAAGCTTGTAGTGCCCCGTGTAAATCAAGCCCATTCATACTGTCACCGACCACTTGCCAGTGTGAGTGCATTTCTGTTATAACGAACTTTGGCTAAAAAGAACTAATTCTCCTGCACAATGGTGTTCGTTATATCAAGAGTCGACTGTATATTCATAACCCGCGACTCTTTGAGCAGGCGATGTGGAGACAACAATCGTAAAAGAGCAATGAAAAAAATAAATAATGTGCACGCTCCCGTCACAAACACGGCAGCAAAGGTTAGGGTAGCTCATGCCGGAATACGTTTTCCGAAAATTCACTAGTTTTACACCGTCTTCGCAATGCTAGGGGTATCCAGACTGAGACCATCAATAGGATTATATTGATTATAAGGCATTCGAGCCGACAAGCTCGTTCCCATACCGTATTATCTCTGTTACAAGCGCAGTCTCTTGTAGAAGCCCAGTCTCTGCTATAAGCGCACTCCAAGAGGTCTTGGAAGATATACAAGCCCAGTCTCCAGTATAAGCGCACTCCAAGAGGTCTTGGAAGATATACAAGCCCAGTCTCCAGTATAAGCGCAGAGCTTATGATGGAGAACTACAGTGGAACCTGTCTAAGACGACCGCTCAAGGGAGCTGCAAAGTGTGGTCTCTGTTACCAGGTGGTCTCCTTATCCAGGGTCATTTGACTGGAAACAGCATCCCTTGGTCCTGGCTGCAGTGGTCCCCAGGGACAGGTGGTCGCCTTATCCGAGTGGTCGCCTACACAGGTTTTACTGCATACGGATATGTCCATGCATGTTTGACGTCACACAGTATCACGTACACACATTGCGGCGCTAGTCCGTGATCCCGCCGCGTACACACATTGTGGCGCTAGTCCGTGATCCCGCCGCGTACACACATTGTGGCGCTAGTCCGTGATCCCGCCGCGTACAGACTCAGTACACCAGCAAGTACAAAACTACCATTCATGGTACCTGCTGGTGGGAAACTTTGTGCTGCTGGTAAAACAAAAAATATTAACCAGTGTACACGTACCAGATGGATGAAATTACAAGCCCAGTCTCTAGTAGAAGCCCAGGGTCCGGACTAGTTGGAAAATGTAAGCCCTGGCCTTATAATGGAGATAATACGGTAACTCTGCAAAACACTGAACATCGTTTTCACATGAATTTCTTTATTCCAGTACTGTTCAGGCTTACCGATCTGGTGTTCCTTGCTTTGCCCTGTAGATGAACCTAATGCTGGTGAGCAGGGCCATGAGTGTGGATACGATTGCAGCACCCACGGCGTAGCGGCAGTTTGACGAAGGTCCAGTGAGAAAGTGCTGCGAGCCCTCCGTGGTGGTGCCCCACAGCAGGCAGTCTCCGTCGGTTGTCAGTTTGTAAACGTGAGACCTGCGTTACGTCGTGTGTGTGTGTGTGTGTGTGTGTGTGTGTGTGTGTGTGTGTGTGTGTGTGTGTGTGTGTGTGTGTGTGACAGGACAGGACAGGTGTGTGTGTGTGTGTGTGTGTCGCATCACATAATACACACAAAAAAACGGTAAAACACAGACTAAGCGGATGGGCGCATGGATACACGTGTGGATAGATGGGTAGATGTGTGGGTATGTGGATGAATGGGTTGACAGATGGATAGGTAGATGGATGGATAGGTAGATGGATGGATGGGTAGATGGATGGATAGGTAGATGGATGGATGGGTAGATGGATGGATGGGTAGAGGATAAAATTAGTTTGATTGATGAGGTTTGTATTGATAGCGGTCTAGGTGTGTACTTTCCAGATTCATAAGTTGGTATTCAAGTGTTATTGACATTTTCATTAGAGACCAGAACAGTGAAAGCTGACAATGGCTGATGGTGTTAGTGAAATGGATACTGATATTGCGGCTAGGTTATTGCGGCTAGGTTTACCATATAAACTTGAGCCTCCCGAGTTGGGTGATCTGTTGCTTTGCATCGTCGAGTTGTAGCAAGACCGGTATGTCCAATTGTCTTACTATTACTACAACAATTGCAGTCTCGTCATCATCCAGTAACAGTCGGCATTCTTTGTTGCCGTGGGACATATCTCGTGCTCATTTTCGCTGCGCTTTCCTTCCCCTCTTTGGAGCTTTCCTAACCTGAGCCACCCAAGTTGGAAGGTTATTGGTTTGCAACTCGTAGAAGTGTTTGAGCTACAATGTAGGTGTCAGGTCGTTGAATGTCTCACTACTCCTTGTCTTTGTGTCCTGTTGTCGCGCAAGCTGACTGTATAGTATCTGGTTACATTGGTGGACAGTTGGTCACAACTGGTAACGTTTCGTCCTTGAGAAGGGAACGAAAACGTTCGGTTACTAAATTGGCTTTACTTGACTGTGTGGATTGCGTCGGTGCTGACACTTCTTTCCACATTGTAGCGGATTAGCACTTTGTTAGTCACCCGGCTTGATTTGTATTTCTCACTTTATGTGCGAAAGTTGTCACTGTTTTGTCATTGTACAGTGGTCCCTCTATAATCCGGCACCATTTGTGCCACGAAAATCTGCTGGATTAGGGAGGGTGCTGGATTAACAAATCTGATTTACTGCTGCAATGTGCATGAAGAGGACATTTTGGCTACTGAAAATTGTGCTGGTTTATCGAGGGTGCTGGATTATAAAGTGCCGGATTAGAGAGGGACGACTGTAGTACCGTGCTCCCAACTGTAGTAATATTCATAGTTTCACTGTGTAGTTGGCGCCACTAGCACTATCTTTTTTTAAAGTGCTATTTTGGTCAATGCTCTGACTGCCAAAGTGCCTGTTATAAGGACATGCTTGCAACTTTGTTAATCCCTATTGTATTCGACTTGAAAAGTAATGGTACGAAAGGCCTAGTCGAAACTATAATGGCTTCTGTGCTTCGTGTGCTGGTTTGCATCCCCTCAACCAAAAATCTATTTCTCACTTTCATTCTCACAGTCATAGTAATGTCGCGTATTAAAGGGGAACTCCGGTCCAAAATCACCCCCATTTTTTATTGCGGAATCCATTAGAGTATGTCGTAAGTGGTAGAATGGCGAAAACCGGAAGCTTCTACGACAAGGATAACATACCTAAATTACCAATTGCAATTTTCCATATTTGGCACGAGGGGGCCCCCTCCCACCCTGTGACGTAAAACGTTCTCAGCCCGGTCCACTCAGATGAAATTTTCAAATAATTCAAGCAAGAATGAAAAGTCCTTGGCCATTGTTGAAGTGCTTGTTGTTCTGTGCCATGCCCGATTTATTGTCACGACTCGCTGCTGCGTCTCTGGATGCAACAATGTCACGAAGAAAGAGGCGCCTGCGGGCTGTCGTAGCACGGCTTTCCTCTGGCTGACGCGAACCTGACGACAGCTTGGCTATGGAGAGTATGTTGGAAGGATTTTTCTCCGACGAAAAATAATCGTGTCTGCACTGAGCATTTCACTGAGATATGCTATGAAAGAGATTTCCAACAAGAGTTTGCACAAAGCATTGGTGGCTATAAGCAGAAGCAGCAGCGACGCTTGAAGCCAGGGTCTCTGCCATCCTGAAACTTGGCGGTGCATGTCATACTAATAGTTAGTAGCTCCTCTACCTCTGCTGCCAGCAAAAGCAGACCATCTTCGATTTACTTCCAGGAACGTGAGCACGATGAGGTAAGTGAACGGCATGATTTTGTGCCGTCCAGAACGTAGCTCTAAACGACTACAGTCCTACTCAAAGTCCTCTACTCAAAATCCTAGTCAGTGAAGTCGAGAATTGATGTAATGTACATGGAACGTTATCATGTGTGTTATTTCGGTTCTCTTTATCTGTAAGTTTCCATTGCGTTACTTTCCGGTTGCAGCTACACTGCCACAAATACAAGGTACAGTATGATTTGTAGTCTGGAAAATTTCCATGCTGTCATACTGAAGTGGGCACCAAGACGTGTCCACTTTTCGTACAATGGCATGAGAGCACGGGTACAGTCGGCATGTCTGTCCCACAATGCCAATATAGGGAGAGCGCACGCCAAAACCAAGGAGGGTGTGCTCAGGTACAGGCTGGAATACACCAAGAGCACAAAGTGGCCAAGAAGCTGCACGACAATGTCCTGCAACTTCTTGAAGGACCTGTTGAACGATGTGCATACAACCATTCTCGGCATTCGCCACGGCACCGGCACAACCCCATGCTCCCGAACACAGTATAGTCTTGTGCCATTGTATCTGTCAACTTTACCAGATTGTTCATGCAGCTGCATTGGTGCAAAGCATGCGCCCACCCGAAAACACAAATATTGCCCGAGTCAAGAATAGTTATAAATCGTGTCTGTCAACTGTTTTCTACATTCTGCATGCACATGTACCAATGATTATGTGAACGTCAACCAGGCCAAGAAGCATTATCATCATCATCATCATCATGTCCAACTGCTTCCTCAAAGCCCCAGTGCGCATCTGCATTGGCTTCTGGTACAGCTGCTTTATCTTCGATACCACGCAAGACGGTATCACACGCCGCTGCTTGCGTCCAAAGTATCCATGGGTGAACCATGTGTATTGTCTATACGCCACATGTCTCCAAATCCTGCACAAAACAGTTGGAGAGATGTAGATACACATACCACGAGTGTCTTCATGATTGTGTAAAAGTAAATAGTTTCAGTGTAAATAGTTTCGGATTCGAATTAATATTTCTATGGGCTACTATACTAAAGACACTTTGGCCTTTTTTCAAATTTACATCACTTTTACACACAGTTGAAACACTTACAGTGCTAGGAATAGTATGAATGAAAGACATCGTTGTACCAGTATAATTATATTGGCATGGGTGCAATAGAACTTCATGATTGTGTGATGGAAGTAACACGTTAGTTGGTGAATTTGAATACTGTACACAAAATCATTGCACAACACTTCCCATCTACTTTGTACCGGTACATGAAACATGGAAAGAAAGGAAATAATGAAACCGATTCAGTGTATCCTCACCTGTTTGACCACGGTCCACACCTTGCCCGAAATTCTTCGAAGGAAAGCAATGCCACCTCGAGCACTGATTTTTGCAGGCAAACAACAGCAAACTCTGAGTGCTGCGTGACGCACTGCAGCCCTTCCTGCTCGCCGCGTTTACTGAAAGCTGCAGGAACCTCCCAGCAACAAGTCGACTCGACCTCGCTCCACATCATGCTGCATTGTCCGCAACGGCATCAAGCAGTGCTTCTCACGCGAGCACTTGCAACCAAAGCGTTCTCTTCACGTTCATCTGTTTTGTAGTCTCAGAAATATTACTTGTAGACAGTTTCGCAGACGCTGATGCGCGCTTCTGCTCGAACCTAAAAGGCCTCGGTGTTGTTGAATCCGAAGTGGCGTCCACCTCCACACCTCCCGTGGTCTCCTCTTCCTCCAACATGATGATCGAATGAATACTAGTACAAGGGTTATTGATTGAAGAAAAACAGTGAATACCTTTTTCAAAATTTCTGCAGGTCTACCATTTGAATAAAAAAATTTGGAGGTCACTGAGAACGTTTTACGTCACAGGGTGGGCGGGGGCCCCCTCGTGCCAAATATGGAAAATTGCAATTGGTAATTTAGGTATGTTATCCTTGTCGTAGAAGCTTCCGGTTTTCGCCATTCTACCACTTACGACATACTCTAATGGATTCCGCAATAAAAAATGGGGGTGATTTTGGACCGGAGTTCCCCTTTAAAGCCTGGCTTATTCATGTAGAAGCCGATGTCAGGGCTAGCCTTCTATTCACATCAGGCTTCTTGTCAAACCAGGTATTTCTATGTGTGTCAATACTAAAACCAGGTATTTCTATGTGTGTCAACAGTAAAACCAGGTATTTCTAATGTGTATCAATACTAAAACCAGGTATTTCTATGTGTATCAATACTAAAACCAGGTATTTCTATGTGTATCAATACTAAAACCAGGTATTTCTATGTGTATCAATACTAAAACCAGGTATTTCTATGTGTGTCAACAGTAAAAACCAGGCTTATGTGCCAACAGTGTACATGTATCTTGAAAATCAGGCTTCTATTCAAAACAGGCTTCTGTACGAGATAGGCTTTAGTACACTGTACTATAGTGGACATGGAAATCCAGTCGAATGACCGGGGCCGGCGCCCTCAGCGCGTACAGAACAGCGCATGCATGCAGTGCACATGTTGATCCGATGCGACCAGCGAGTTGCAGCGCGTAAATGCATGCGTATGCCGCTAACCCATGGCTGCACGGCCAGCGCCCTGGGGCCGCTGGACGTGCGACCGGATTTCCATGTCCACGACAGTACAAGATACTACGGTATCACATTTGTAACCTTCAGCATTGTCACTAAGACAGTGTTACTTTTCTTTGGTTGTTGAAACTTATTATCGGGTTATTATGGTACTAGATTTGGGTTTCGCATGTGACATAATCAGCGGCAAATGGCGACACCGAGTTCCTTCCTTTTCCGGTATGGTTGGCAAGTAGGGACTCGGGTTGATTGATTTCCACCCCCAGGGGGTTGAAATCAAGAAAACATACTGCCGGAAGCATGTGCTTGTCTCGTGCCCGGATTGCGCACCGCATGCGAAATTCTCACCAAAGTAATCACGCGAACATTCAGATCTAGAGAAATGGACTTCAGCCCGGATATCAGCTATCAACCCACCTTTCTTTTTTTCTTCATCCGGTACCGCTATTGTACCGACTTTCAACCGGGTTGAAAACAAAATTAATTCTCGTGTAAAACACGAACTGGACGTCAGGCATGCACGTCACTCGTACGAGTACTCTTCAGTCCCCGGCCCCCGAGCCAAAACATTTTGAATCTTCCTACTCCACTTGCACTGTACCTTGAGTCAAGAATGCCGTATAATATCATAGACGAGCCGACCAGGACTGCCATGTTCGTCACCAGTCGAGCAGACAGCGACAGGATACCCATCGTGCTTGTTGAGTGTTGTTGCGGCACGATTCCACGACAAAACAACTCAGGTTAGTTTCAAATTGTACGCACGTTGTAAGGTTCAAACAATGTTCGGAAGAACAAGATAAGAAGAGGAGAAAGCCCTTTCTCTTTCTCTCTCCCTCTTTTGATTGCTCAGCGCCCCGCAACGACAAGCAGCATGTCAGGAAAGTGTCATATCAGTCACTCGCATTTTTCGTTTGTTGCTCACTCAAATGCACCTGCAACACTGCTGGCCAACAGGTGCGCAACGTGCAAGCATCCTTTTAATATTTTAAAATAATAATAATAATTCGCGGGATTCGCGTTGGCATCAGCCTTTTAGTTTTAGCTTTCTGAAATTTTGAGTGACGATTCACCTTGCACCTGTGACCTGGCACCTCGCAGTAGATCTACGACTCGCACACCAGGTAGAGGGGACGGCTCGATACCGGGACGTTTGACAGCCAAATTTGTATAGACCCAAACCGATCATCAGCGTTGATTTTTCACTCGAAATATGTTTGTGGCAGGAAACTGGCATGTTGAAGTTTGCTCTGGGGCCAGAGTCAATCGAACTGAGCCACTTCTTTGTGTTGACCCATTGCCTCCAAGTTGCCCAATTTTTCGCTTCAAAAAAGTTCAAATCAGAGGTGGCTCCAAACCGGACACGTTTTAGAGTGCACGTCAAATTCACTCTGGGTCTGAAATTAGGTAATTGCTATCGCTCCACGACGGCCAGTACAGAGTAACAATAAGCCTTGTGTGTGCTTCCATTAGTTTTGATTGGTATGCGGTGCTTTATTGGCGAGAGGCGAGCCGCTGTTTACCTGCGACAAGAAGTTGATTTTTCGAAAGTCGTAAAACTCAAGTCGCAGTGCGAAGCAACACGTCAAAAACTCACCTGCTTGATATGGCGCTTCTGGTCATCGCAGAGCCATGAAATTTTGGCTCGGAGAATAACTCATCGTAGTCTCACTGTGACATGTTTTCTAATCAAAATACCAAGAGAGAAAGTGAATATTGAGTCCGTTCCGGTTTGCAACCGGTGTCCTATTTGAAACCGTCCCCTCTACACAGACAGTCCTCTACATACAGCTACATGACAGTGAGTGGGGTTTGAACTGCGAAAAACTTTTTTAGGGTCCAGTATCAAGAGGTCATAACCCCGGCCCCGGGTTATGAACTCTTGCCAGTATGCATTATATCAAGAGTACTCTTGATATAATGGATCATCTCATGAGTATTAACAAGACGGTACCCCCAGGGCCTAGGGCCTAGGGGTTACCGGTTATGAACAGAAAACAATGCCTGAGAAATGAAAATCAATCACAAACAGGAAGCTGTCTCAGGGCAAGTTTATGAGGTCAGATGACCGCTAGAGCCAACGATTCCGCTACCGTTGCATTACGAGCACGTTGATCCACAGATCGACCACAGTGACCTCGGAGGCTGGCATTAGCTGAACGCACCAGCGAGAAGGAGAGTTTGGATCGGATCAAGGCCATCGTAACGGAGAAGGGCTCCTTTCGCTTGTCGAACAGGAAGACTGCAAGCCGTTTCAGGACTCGATGATGCTGATGCAGCTTTTCCGCAACCTCCGGTGGCACTGTCGGAAGACGAGGGGCAAGAAGGAGGCCTGCTCAACCTCTCGCACCCTCTCCTCATATGCCCGCCTCTTCTCTTGCTCAGCCTGGAGTAGGTCGACGCGGCTAGGGATAAGGCTTGGTTCGAACGAGCATGTGGGTTGAACACTCGGACATCAGGGAGTGTCCGCTCGAACCTACTACCCCAAACCCCCGACACCGCTATGTCCAGGCAGGCTCCATCAGTGCATATGGTTGACCGTCACCGAAGTTGTTCACCACTCATTGGCACTCAGCGGTTGTAGAGGGGGTTCAACAATTTTATACGTCGGAGGCAACCTCGCGAAGCATTGCAATGTGGCGTTGACGTCACGAATCTCGTTGTGGCGTAGTGCAGGATAGCCGTCGGTGGGACATGACACGGCATGCGCAGCATCAAAGTTCTTGCCACACACACGATGTAGGGAGGCAGAGCGGAGTCCAGTCTTACCGAAGGTGTAACGCATCCTGGAAGGCGCCTTTGTGGAGGGTGAATCCATGCTGGCGGAGTGGGCGACAGGTGAGCCAGCTGGAGGCACCTCTTTCCGCAGCAAGCTCGACGGTCCGCTTCAATGATGGGCTGTAGTTACCCAGAATATTCTCTTGCTCTGCGCTTCCTCTGCCTTGTTGTACATGTCGCAGCACGGATCCCTTCCATGGAATGACGTTGGTGCAAAATCTGTTTCACAAGAGGGTCCGAGATGCGTGCAGAGGCGGCGAACTGACAGGAGAGAATGCACCGGTTGAGAAGGCCCAAACCTCCGTCACGGCAAGGCAATGCCAGGATGTCTCGCCCCAGATCCCGGGGGGGGGGGGGGCAGATCTCCCCGGTAGAGGGGAGAGAGGAACTCAAAAGGAATCTTGGAAAGATGACTCAATTGGCTATTGAACCCTCCAACGGCCGACACCCCCTGAATTACCCAAACTATATGGGTGGATTGGAAATGATCCCACTTACGGGCTCACCACACCTCAGTAAGTGGGCGAGGACAAGGTGCAGAAAAAGGATTGACGGCATCAGGTATCCGTAATGGAATCCAACTGCAGTTACCCCCGCCCCCAGCGAGGGTAATATAATATTATGTACTTGCTACCAGTGTGGGTGGTAAAATTAGAGTGGATCTGATACAAGCTTTATTAGCGCTATAGCTATAGCACCAGTGATTACAGAAGAGCCAGAAGCAGTCCATGGTTAACAGGTACGTATACTTCAAATAGAAAGTACAAAAACAGTCAGGTATTGAACCCTGAAACCAACAAAGGTGGCAGATACAACAATACACCTTCAAGCAGCCGAGCCTGTTGGCAACAGACCCAATGATGTATGATACTGTGATACATGTAGTTTTTTTTGTTGTACATTTCAACACAATCATCGGTTGTTTTTGTTTGCACTGTGGTATTCAGCAATGTACTATCGTGGACATGGAAATCCGGTCGCACGTCTACTCGGTCTAGCGGCCCCAGGCTGCATGGCCTGGGCATGGGGCCGCTGACACACATGCATTTTATGCGCTGCGTGCAGCGCGCTAGTCGCATCGGATCAACATGTGCCCTGCACTCGGCGTTCTGTATGCGCTGAGGGCGCCGGCCCCGGTCAATCCACCGGATTTCCATGTCCACGACAGTACTTCTCACTTCCTTGGTACTTTTCACACGCACAATGTTGGTGTCAGCGTATAGAGGACTTTCCAATGAGTCATACCATGCGGCCTATGAGGATTCGGGCCAAAGATCATCGAGTTCACCACCGATCACCGGACTTGAAACGGAGCTTGGGTGGCAAAAAAGAAGACTGCACTGGAAGGAAACAGTGTTTTTCGAAAGCAGTTCCATTTTGCATACTGTAGTTTGAGAATACCAAAGGGCTGCTCGCGATCGGATGTTCCCACACCTGGATCGTCTTTGAGTTGTTATCGTTTTCCCTACGATGGAGAACGACGGAACCAGTGGATGACGGACACACGACTCGAGAACTTCGCTCCTGATGCAAATACTTCGAAGTACACGAATATTGTTCCATCGCTTCGTTGGCGAAGAGAAAAGTCATGATCATCCCGTCACCCCAGTACGTATCGAACTAACTAACCAACTTGTTCAGCTCATTTGTGGCAGCACCAGTAAAGGCGGAACCACGAAGATGATTCCGAACACTATCAACTTACTTAGTTTGTTGGGGTGCAAGGTATAGCTGGAGTTTGATGATTGATAGTGCTGATGCTGATGGTAATGACTAATGTACCCAGCTCTATGCACGTACCTCTACATGACTGGTACGTGGTGGTGCTAGCTATTCTAGTACTGGCCCTGGGTGCAACTCATCATCTCTTCCATGCCAGTGTGTATGCCTCATGTTCTGCACAACGTGTATTTCCTTTGTCATGGATAAATACTCTGATCGACCTACTTGCGCAATCTTCTTCTGCTTCCCACTTGGTTGCTGCGCTGTGCAGTTCTTCAACTGCTGCGGCACATACTAGTATACCTCATATTCTGTCTTTCTGGTCAATTAGGTACATGTATTCATGTATTCAGCTTCTTGATCTTCTTGTGGTGAGGATCATCTTGATCTTACTTCTTGTGTAACTCTTGCAAAGGCAGTAATGGAGGACACTCTGCCAGTAATCAGCAACTGCTTATGGAGAATGCCAGGTCGAGGGACGACCAGGAAAAAACAATTGCTGTATTGGATGTGCATTCATCAGCGTGTTTTAAGATCAGGACAACTAAGTTCGCCACTACACCAACTTTTTGGCTACATAGGAGCAATGATGATGATGGCCGTGTTTGACTTTGTCAGCTTTCGTGCTACCAGCCACCGCATGTCAACATTGTCATACTCGTACTGATAAGGGAGAAAAACCCACACACGCACGCACACACATGCACACACATACACACACACACACACATGGATACACTGACAGGCATGCAAAGCAAGAGAGACAGAGAGAGAGTCAGGCAGCGAAAGAGAAGTGAGACTACTTGCAGGTTATGGGCACGGTGCACCAATTTCTGCCCAGCTGAAGTAAAATCCATGTACACTATTTTCGTGTAGTGTTCATTGACGGTGCCAGCCACTGGTGAGTGACCCAGTGGTGTAGGTGTTGACATTCAGCACACATCACATTTCAGTCTCCAACGTAAATTCAGTCAAAACAACACTGCACTGCAGCAACATGGGAACATGCTTCTCCCAGGCCCACCATGCAAGTGCAGTGTGCGCCAACAACAATTCCAGGTAATTCAGCAGCTACCCAAGGATGGACAGGTTCGGCAAAAACACTCCGCGAGTGCCTGACGTTTCCAAACGTATTTTGTTGACAGTTGTTGTTTCTTCCTTCGATTGGGCAAGACACGATAAAGTGCCAACCCAGCCAGCAATGAGGCACATGCATTTGTATCCATCAGGGCTATTGTAAGACTTTAGAGAGTCCTTTGCATATGTGCTGGGGACATTCACTAAATATTTAGAGAGGCCTGGATACCCAACGCAGGGGGATTGGCTGAAAGGTCTTCGTCCATAGGTAAATATGGATCAATGTACTGGGCCCACGGATTCTGTCAATCTTCTCGCGGCAACGCCTCTTCAAGGCTGGAATAAACAGTAGAGTAACTACGGCTAGTAATCCTCGCGACTTACCGAAACTATTCACCACATCAAAGAAAAGCAAAAGTGCTTCACCACTGCGACGGCCTGCAACATCATTTTCAACCGTACACCGAACACAAATTTGATTCTCTTTTTGCCACCCAAGCACATTTTACCGTAGGACACGGACTTGTCTTATGGGTGATCTTTGGGTGGACACCGGGAAGGCGCCAAAAAGGTGATGTAATGGAAAGTCCTCTATAAGCCCACCGAAATGTCCTTGTGAAACAGATAAGCCCATGGGCTTATACGCGGGATTGTACGGTATGTGTACCCACCAACCGGACTACAGTAGTCGCGCGCTGAAGAACGTGGAGCCCAAGAACGTCCAGCCTGAAATTCTAAGAACGCCACAGCCTAAAGCTAAGAACGGCGGTGTTGGTTTTCTGGCAGCTTGTGGGATACATATGATCCAGTACGGATTGTTTCTAAGGACGTGCTATAAGAACGTCCCAGGCTAACCTCTTGGAAACAACGTTCTTGGGCGCGCGACTCTACTGTAGCTGGCAGAAATACACACGCACACACACACCATTGATCATTTCATTTGACGCCCATCATGGGAGGCGATGATAGCAATGCTACAGCGGAAGCTATAGCAACTTGTGCTGGGATTGCACCATGCAACACCTTGCAAGGCTGAAGAATTGACCGCCACTATTCAGCCTGGTCTACACCACACAGCTATGAAGTGGCTTTTTCTGGCCAGTGAATCCCTACTTTTTGGTATTTTCATTTTTTTTCCCGCACACACATCACACCACATACTCCGGCATGCACTGGCTATTGGTAACCACCCAGGAGAATGAAAGAAAAGTCAGGAGGAGTCTGAGAAGAAGAAGAAAAACATGTGTGACCATAATGACCACACACACACACACACACACACACACACACACACACACACACACACACACACACACACACACACACACGCACACACACACACAACGCAGGCACACACGTCACACTCCGGGAGAGCTGCATCTGCACCGACTCCGGAGTAGTTTTCGCACAACTCCCACGGAAACAAAAAAAACCCGGATGTGGACAAGCTCGTCTTGAAGAGCACCTCCACGCCACATTACTATATTAACGAGTACTAACGACAAAACAAGCTGTCCAAGCAGAGGGGTTTAATACCATGACTACATAGCACTGGACAGCAAAGCTATATCACTGTACACTGTAGCACAAATTCAAACCAAGATAAAAAAAACCTAGCAGGTAACTACAGAGATAAAAAATAAAATAAAAATACAAGCAAAGAGAGACAAGGGCCGGCGCAGGGGTGGCAGTACCTGGTCCTGCCTCCCCGCCAGTGAGTGAGTGAGCGGCAGTGGTACGGATGAGCATGCGACATCTTCCAACATTGTACCGAAAGCGAGTGCCGTGCACGGCAAGACCTGGACGTTGGCAGGCCGCGGGCCCACTCGTTCAACCACCACCGCTCCCGTTTCCCGGCCTGCGGGACACGTGCAAGGGTGAGCAGCCTACACGTAGCTTATTTCATTATACTGAAAGAAAAATCACGGAGGGGGGGGGGGGGGAGCATTGCATACATGTACATACACCAAAGAATAAAAACACGGTCGGCTGCAAGTCTCCAGCACAAAGCAGAATACACCTGTTGGCTATTGGACAGAGAGGAACAGTGGTGCAAGGCACACAGCTGTACAATGTCCGTAATACTGCACAAGTGTACATGGTCTGCACATAGCACTCCTTACACACCAGGTGTGTATCCCTCGTGCTCTGTACATATGCTGGCATACACTTGGAAAGAAAATCAATAAAAAAAGAGTGCGTGCCTACGGTCCGCAGAGGCGCGGCAGTGGGCAGGATTATGAAGTGCAAGAAGAGCCCTTGGCAGCTAGTAGGATGACTCACAGCAAAGCACAGCACAGCACAGCACACACACAGACACACACACACATGTGCGCATGCACCTAACCGCACAGAAGATGAAGTGAGATAAGCATCATGACGCGGTAAAGAGCACAGCAGTGCAGCCCGTACACCGCAGGTGATGACAGTGCCACGCGTCGCCGTGTGCGCGTGCGCATGCACAACGGGAAAACTCTCCGCAGCCGCACAGCAGGGGTAGCATTTGGTGTCAACAAGCAAAGAGAACAACTGGCCAGATGACATCATGAGCACAGAGAACAACTGGCCAGATGACATCATGAGCAAAGAGAACTGGCCGGATGACATCATGAGCACAGGGATCAACTCAACACGTTGGCTAAGAGCTAGGCATACTCACATAAGACAGTGTGCAAAACACAGCCCCCGGTGAGGATTGACAGCAGCGCTGAATCACACAGGTCATGACATCACAGCGTTCAGCGTTGTCACATGATCGACTATGCTAGCAACGGCACTCCAGAGATGATGCCCAGCAATGCCACTCCAGAAATGATGCCCAGCAACGGCACTCAAGAAATGATGCCCAGACGCAGCAGACCTAGGTGCAAGAGGCAATGAAGATCAACTACCAGAAACGTGCACAGGCAGCTGTCCAAAACAGCCAAACGCCATGATCAGAACATCTACCGCTACGTCGAGACAACCGTCTCAGCCGAGGTCCATGCCTTCCTTATTCGGCGACGACACGAGCACCTTCTGCGAGTCGACGGGACTGTCCATGTCCAAGTCCTTGACGTCGCCGAGCTGTTCACCCACACCACCACCACCGCCGGGGAGCTGTGATGCTGCTACCGCGTCTGCATTTCCACACGCAGTGGCATCGTCGTCGCCACCGTTGTCGCTATTGTACTCCATGGCTTCGTCGTCGTCATCACCGGTGTTGCCTGACGCGCCGCTCGCCTTGGCATCGTCGGCCAGACGTAACCGTGTGGAGAAGTGGATCTCCTGGCAGTCCAGCGTACGGAGGTTAATGAGTACGGCAGAGGAGGTCTCCGCAAACCGCGGAACCAGGACGACCAGCACGCGCTGTCCGTCAGAGCCTGGTCACAACACAGCGCAGCAGAAGAACACACACGACTGGGCTCAGGGTCTTGCCACACGTAAGGGAAATCCTACCGTTGTGTTTGACATATGACACACACACGCGTGCGCATGCATGCACACACGCGTGCATGCATGCACACACACACGTGCATGCACGCACACACACACGCGCATGCACACATACGCATGCATGCATGCACACACACACACACACACACACACACACACACACACACACACACACACACACACACACACACACACACACACACACCAGGCGCGTACGCAGGGTCACCTCTAGGGGGGTTTCCAACCGAGTCCCAAACAATGAGTTTTTAAGTTTTAATTAACCCTTTCTAAAGAGCCCTAGGAAATTTTCAAAATTATGCATTTTTTCGTTTTGTTTGGATCATAACTTCAGTTCAACTCACTCAATCTTCATTATCTTGGGCTTCCTGGAAGTGGAAAGGTACCAGGGAGAGAATGAGGTCGACCATGATAGCCAGTACACAGGACAGTCATGTACATATCCAGTGCTATAGAGTGCAGTAGAGTGCAGCGACGGTGCGAGAAATGCCCCAAACAGGCCCAAACGCGTCCTGCTCCAGCGATTTCGTTTTTCTTGATCCCAGAGTTTCGATTTTTTGCTGTATACTCTTGAAAATATCACAAGTGAAGCCCCTGCAATTTTGAGCAAATCAGCACGACGAAAATCTCAAATTCTCGATACTCAAGTCGCACTGCGCGCTTTCGAAATTGCCGAGATCGCGGCCCAACTTCCGAATGATTTATCTCACGATACATTGCTCGCAGCAGTTCACAAATTGTTTCAACCGACAGCTGAGAGTTTGCTATTCGACCTGGATATTTGGATCGTTGGATTTGAGCGAGATTTGACTGAGTTACGATCTTTTGAAGTTTTGCATTCTTGCCAGATCGATCATGCACCCTACCAAAAAATGCCCAAAAACGTTGCTCGTTTGGAACATTTGGGGGGTTTCCGGGCAACGGGAAACCCCCCTGCGTACGCGCCTGCACACACACACACACAGAGGAGGAGACGAGAGAAGCGTGCCTTTATGATGGAAAGCAAACAAATGGAAAATGGGGGGGGGGGGGGGGGGTGGGCGCAGGGAAGCATCGCGCACACACACACACACACACACACTTGTGCGCATGAGTGCATAACCATTGGGAAAGTGGCCCTACCGATGATGTCCGTGTAGTCAAACTTGCTCTGGCTGCCAGCAAAGAACACAGTCGGGCATTCCTTGATGATGAACGGGTCAGACTTGTAGAAAGGATAGCACCCTACCATGGCAATCGACATAAACACATACACACACATAGACACACACAACACGTGGTCAAATCTTTCAGTAGCATGTCCCAGCACACACTTCACATACGAAGTTATGAACGCCTTTTGGGACGTAGCAGGACCTATAACCATAATGGAGTTCCACATTTGAAGACGGCATGGCATGTACACAAAATCGTTGGAAGAAGATTGTCGTCAACTTGTCGTGCACCCCCCCCCCCCCGAACAGGTGGACTGGGTGGGGGGAGGGAGGGGTAAGTCTCAACAGAGTTCCACCGCGTTTAGAAAAATAATGACCCCCTTCTCCCCCTCCATGCTCCAACACCTGTGGAATCAGGACCACCCCCACCCCCTTGCACGCATACGCATACGCACCACATTCACATACGCACACCCACACACACACACCACCTACTATCCATAGCTCAAGAGCAAGCCCCCCCCCCCCCCACACACACACACATACCTAGCGTGTCCGGAGCAGTGGGCAGAATGTGACCATAACGTAGCGTCTGCTCCAGGATAGATAGCCGATCGTCGTACGTTGAGTAACTGAAGATGTTGTCAACTCCTTGACCAGACGAGCCAAGGAACCTGGCAGGAGTATCACAAGAACATGGAAACAAGCAAGCAGTTTGAACAGACACACGGCAAGCAGTTTGAACAGACACACGGCACGCAGCTTGAACAGACACATGACAAGCAGTTTGAGCAGACACACGGAATGCAGTTTGAACAGACGCCCGGCATGCAGTTTGAACAGACACATAGTACTAGTAAGCAGTTCAGCGGCTCACCACCAGCTTTCGTGTCACGGCTTGGTCAAAAACAGCAAGCCGCGACCGCTGCTCGATCAGATTCCCGTACTTTGCATTGTTTTTTAAAACTCGGATACTGAGCCAGTAATAAATGTAAAAAAAGAGAAGAAACACAATGAGAACGAGTAATGCAGCAACTATCCACGACTGTAACAAGATGATAAAGAGTCAGAAAGTGCGATAATGGGGCACAAAACAGGTTACTGAGACATTCAGCGACCCAAGACCTAGCTCTAACACACCTCCAGTGCGCAAACCAACAGCCTTCCAACTTGGAAGGTTCATGGTTACGTAGTACCGAAGAGGGGAAGGTGAGCGCAGCGAAAATGTGCATATGCTAAATCCCACGGCAACAAAGAATGCTGACTGTTACAGGACCATGACGGGACCAGTAAATAATAACATGTCAGTTCGTACACAATAGTGTCATGCATGAGTACCGTTAGATATTGGCGAATGGTTTTGTACAATTCGTTTTCGCAAAGCTTCCCCCCTTCCTTTATCTCTTATATTGCTGACCCACCCGAGTTGGGTGGTGTGTTGCTTTGCTGCTTCGAATCGTAGTTAGACCGCATTGTCATGGTATTAACTGGTCTCGTCATGGTCCTGTAACAGTCGGCATTCTTTGTTGCCGTGGGACTTAGCTTGTGCACATTTTCGCTGCGCTCACCTTCCCTCTTCGGTACTACGTAACCATGAACCTTCCAAGTTGGAAGGCTGTTGGTTTGCGCACTGGAGACATGTTAGAGCTAGGTCTCGGGTCGCTGAATGTCTCAGTAGCCTGTCAGTTTGGTGCCCTATCATTGCACTTTCTGGCTGTTTATCATCTTGTTACAGTCGTGGATAGTTGCTGCATAACTCGTTCTCATGTGTTTCCTCTGGGGTTTTTTATACCCAAGAATTCTAAAATTCAAATTTTAACTCGTTGTGCAGCCCAGAACACGAGGAATTTTTCGATTTTGAGCACGCAGGCAGGTAAAACGTCATAAAACGTGGAGCACGACCGCAGTACCACGATTGTCGATAATTCCGCGATAAGAAACAAAATACTTGAACGCATGAGCGCGTGGAAGCAAGCCTACATGCCTCGACAAATTAGACCATCGAGACGAGCGCAAAAAAAAAGAAGAGAGAGACAAGAGAGAGACAATATGCAAGAAAAACGCTAACGAGGCCTAAACACTTGTGTGCTATCGTGTGCCGAGACTGGTTACGCCTGGACCTTGCGGGGATTTCAATCTTCTACACACGTCCACCAAGCGCATGGAACGTGCATCTCAATCTCCCTATCACAAATAAAGTCAACCGGGCGCAACAAAGACCTCCGGTATAACACCAATTCAAGTGTGCTCCAGACACAGTCATGAGTTAGTCAAGTGTCAAGTCAGTCGGCAGGAAGCGCGAGCTCCAACGTTCGGAGCAGACACTTTCTTCACTAATCACCGCCGATGTTGCAACATCTTTCGTCACAAATAGAGACACAATATAGAGACCTAACGTGGTGATTTGCTTGAATACTTTAAACACAGCGAATACGGAATACAGTCAGACCTCGCATAACCGCACACCACCGTTTTCGACAAAAAATATAGGCGAGGGAACCGGATAATTGAACACACATACTGTATGCATGCATGGTATATGCTGCAAATCGGTAACCAGTGATTTTCGTCCGGATGGCGAGGGATCCGGATAAAAGAGGACCTGATAAGCGAGGTCTGACTGTAGCAACAAATCACCAATAACAATACTTGTCTCATGCACCGCGATCGAAGGTTGTCATTTGCAAGGTTGACTGTACAGTGGTTTGTGTGCACATGCATCACCGCATTTGTTAGCACAGTACATGCATCACCGCATTTGTTAGCACAGTACATGCATAAGCTCTGTACATTCAGACCTCGCTTGACCGCACACATCCGTTTCCCACAAAAAATATCCGGACAGGCAAGGGACCCGGATAATTGAACACACATACTGTATGCATGCGTGACTTATGCTGTAAATCGGTAACCAGCGATTTTCCTCCGGATGGCGAGGGATCCGGATAAAAGAGGAGCGGACAAGCTGTACATGCATAAGCTCTGTACAGTCGCTTGACCTCGCTTGACTGCACACATCCGTTTCCCACAAAAATATCCGGATAGGCGAGGGACCCGGATAATCGAACACATGCTGTATGCATGCATGAAAAATGCCGAAAATCGGTAACCAACAATTTTCGTCCGCATGGCGAGGGATCCGGATAAGCGAGGTCTGACTGTACATGCGTAATGTCTATACCAACACTGACCGTGCGCCGCCAATACGGCAATCATACGGGTTGCTGACGCACTGGAACGTGGCAAAGGAGCTAGCCTTGGGGAACATGCAGCGATGCATGGGCTGCTGTGGCATCGTGTAGTTACACGGGTCGTGACGGCCTGGCATCACGTCTGTAGGAACGCTGGACTAATATGCACATACACACACGCATGCACACACACAAACACCACACAAACACACACCACACAACACACACGTATGAAAACAAATACTCCACTAACAGCCGGCAGCCGGAATGTAGACACACGGAAGCCAGAGCAAGCCGACAAAACCCCCCAAAAAACTGCTACACACCTGACATATTATACAATTGCCTGTAAGACTTAACCCAGACAGACAGCCGCAACGGCACACACGCACACACACATGTAGCTACTTACAGCTAGCTGAGCCAAACATTGATCGACTTCGGGCATAAACACCGTGGAGCCGGCGTCCGTCTTTCTTGTAAGCAGCTTTGACTGTACACACAGTACAGGACGACATACAATGCAGGACAACACACAGTAGCAGCACATACAGCGGCCTCGTGAGCCGAAGAACAGGACGTGGTACTTTACGGTAGTCTGCAAAAAGAGTAAGCAAGCCCCCCCCCCTTCCCCACACACACATCCCCCCCCCCCCTTCCCCACACACACATCCCCCCCCCCCCACACACACACATCCCACCCTACACACACACATCCCCCCCCCACAAACAGAATGATGAGCACTAACCTCATTTGCTCCTTTCCGAGAGTTACATATTGAGTCGCCGGCCACGATCACACGTACAACACGAGAGTAGAGCTGGCTATCCTGGATGCCGACACACAGACACACACATGCACGCACACACACACACACACATAGACACACACACGCACGCACGCACACACACACACACACAAGTACGGTGAGACACCGGTATAATGCACAACACACTGTATCTTCATGCAGCAGTGTGCAGAGATTGATCTGCACCAGACCAACACCACCACCACCACCACCACCACCACACTGCACACATTGTGTCGTGTGAGAATCCACTCATCAGTTCACTTAGTGAGGGTGGTGCATGCAGTACATAGTAACACAGCATGGTAACATTACAAGAGTGAAGCATAGACACATGGATGACCAGAGAACAATCTAGCGGTGTCATCGGGTAGAGGGGTGCCCGTGCTACCCGTAATTAGAGCGGGTAGTCGGGTGGCAGTTTGCGTCTGGGAACACAATTGGGAGTAGTAGTTGGGAGTACGGTGCTGTCGCAACGGCGCATATACGAAGTACAGCTACGTCCTTCGTGTACACTTTTCATGTGGTGCACGTACACACTCACTGTACGGTACGCATAGTGGCGATCCCGCTCATGCCACGCCGTGTCCCAGTGTACTCGTGCTATTGAAAAAAAACCCCGAAAGGGTACCCGTGCTACCTGGACAGAAATACCCGAACTTGCTACCCGGTCAAACCACTATCCGTTGCAGCCCGAAGACAATCTTTTACCTCATCGCTGCCAAGCTGTCCAGTGACAAGGTCGAGGAAGAGTTGCAAGGCAAGCTGATCGGCAGTGTCCTCTCCCACGGACATACCCGACACCATCATAACATACCTACACATCAAGTAAACAGAGAGAGAGAGAGAGAAAGAGAGAGAGACAGACCATGGTCGTCAGCAAGTAATTGCATAAACTCAGGAGAGGACATGGCACGCAATGGCTTGGGCAATGTAGGCTCATAATTCCCAGGATTTCCATGGGAAGAAATTGACTAGAGGGTAGAAGAAGGTAGGTACCAGCATGTGGCCGTTGACAATTCTAAGATGATTGACTACACATCCATTGTGCTCTGCAGCCGACCACACATACCTCAGACATGCCCATCGAGGAAGTGATGATAGCGAACAGCTATGTTATACATAACTTGTGCTGGGATTACACCATTCAACAGCTTGCAAGGCTGATGAATTGACCGCCACTAATATTAGCCTGTACTACACCACACGGCTGATTGAAGTGGCTTTTTCTGGTCAGAGAATCCCTATTTTTCGTTTTTACACTTTCATTTTTTGACACACACACACACACACACACACTCACACCACACCACATACTCCGGCATGCACTGGCTGTTGGTAACCACCCAGGAGAATGAGAAAGAGAAGAAAGACGTGTGTGATCATAGTCGTCGGGAATTGAACACACACACCCACACCCACACACTTCCCACAACAGAAAGAGTAGGGCGAGTACTGCTGTTGTGGGAAGTGTGTGTGTGTGCTTGTGCGCGCTCACATGCATCGCATTCAGGGATCCCTTGATCTCTGCAGGTTTGAGAGTGTACGTGCCAGTGACTTAGGAGGCAAGGGAGCACTAAGTCACTCACTTATCAGGAGGAGCTGTCATGTCCTCGTCCAATGTGACTGTTGGTTGCGGAGGAATGTCGCAATAGGTGTAGTCATCAACCTCAAACTGACCGTTGGGCAACTCAACACCGCGAGCAGCAAGTACAGCACCTGCACAGCCATAGGAGAGAGAGAGAGAAAAGCAGAGTTGTGCTCAACACCACTCAACATTGAGTTGGAATGCCAGTTAGCACCCCCCCCCCCCTCGTACACGCTCACTCATTCCTCACACACACACAGGCACTTCCTCACTTTCACACACACACACACACACACACACACACACACACACACACACACACACACACACACACACACACACACACACACACACACACACGAGCACACGAGCAGCCACCGGTAATGCACACAGCACGTACCAGTCACAGCAGTCTGCGGGTCAATTGCGCCGGTCAGCGAAATGCGCTGTGATGCATCCTCCAGCACCAGTGAGTCTGTTTCGTCAGCAAACTTCTCCCGATACGGTGGTGGCAGTAGACTTTGCTGCAGGGCACAAAGTGGCAAAAGGAACCAATTTTAAAAAATGGGTTCACTGAGATCCGGGTCTCAGAAAATCCAGAGAGTGTGCACTGCTACACAACCTCACTCCAAGGTCTGTGCAGGACACAACCTCACTCTCAGGTCTGTGCAGTACACACCCATTAGCATGTTAACAAGACCAGCAGCACCATTGACTACACCAGCTGTGCATAGAGAAACAGGACCCCAATCACAACACTCCTTCATCTTTTACATTAGGAGCGTAGCACCGCCGTTGGAGGTGGTCCGGCCGGAGGGGGGGGGGGGGATCTCCCTGGGAAAGGTTTTGAAATTAGGGTGCAAAATCCTGCATTCTGGGCACTTTTGACATTGTGTTAAAAAAAGTAGTCCGGCCAATGGCGGACCGGCTGCTACGCCCCTAATATAGAGAGCCTAGCCATGATATGGTTAGACGAGAAGGCAGACATCCCTGTGTATCTGATGAAGTCAAATAGATTCTTGGTTGCGGGGATGCAAACCAGCACACGAAGCACAGAAGCCATAATTATAGTGTCGACTAGGCCATTCGTACCATTACTTTTCAAGTCGAGTACAGTGGGAAGTAAAATTAAAAAACAAACACTTCAGGTGAAGGTCCCTGGTTCCAGTCCTAGTCGTGACAGTCAATCTTTTCTTCAGACTTTTCCCATTTGCATCTTCTCCCCAAACCAATGAAAAACAAAGACCTCTGCTTCATACCTCGTCGCTGATTTCTTTCAAGATGCTCGGCTTGAGGACCATCTTCTTGAAAACTGTGCCCATGATCACGCATTCTTGTCCGATCTTCACCGCCATCAACGGCAGGATCTTCACGCGATTGCCTGAGAACGAGCACGCACACACACACACACACACATGGAAACAAACTCGGTTTTCGTTTCGGAAACAATCAAGAAACACTGCGAAAGATGCTCAGCTCTGTTTAAAGGGAAAACAGGGTTCACTTTTCATCGTAAGAGGCTGGCAGCTGAGATGAGGGCTTCTTGTGCTGCATGTTCTTGCACAAACACAAGTATAGTCCTCCGTGCTCACAGCACATTATGCCATTAAAGTCAGCATCATGTCAAAGAAACCGAACGTGCACACACGGGGAGCAGCAGTGTTTGATACAGTTGAAGAGAGAGAGAGAGAGAGAGAGAGAGAGAGAGAGAAAGAGAGAGAGAGAGAGAGAGAGATAGAGCGAGAGAGAGAGAGAGAGAGAGAGAGAGAGAGAGAGAAAGAGAGATAGAGAGAACTTTTTCTCCCAGTGACTGGCCTTGAGTGAGGGATTTCCCCCTTGGATGACAAGCTGATTCATCCAGACACACTTCCTGCACGTGGCCAGCATAAAACTATACTCAGCGCAAAAAAATGAGCGTTCCTCGATGAATTAGAGTGAAATGGTTGGCGTCGAGGAAATTTGCTCGTATATCCAACTCTGTGGACTGTTTGAGGTGCTGTGGCGTTGGATATGCGACTGCTGTGGTGCTGAATTCGGGCTCTAGTTACTCTGCTCACGGAGAGCTTTCCAGGAAGCCCACAAAGTGATGCCGAAAGTAAGGTAAAGAATATGTCGCAAAAGCAGCCGCATACAATTATCAGGATTATTTGGGGCTCCAAAGGATTAAAGTCGTGTTATATAAGGGGTCACGTGGACGAAGGGGCCGTCCCGCAGCTACTCTCCCTACCATCATCATGAAGGACCTGGCAGGGCACGACATCCCTTTGAAGAATGCCAGCGACCTAGAAGGAGCACGAGCATTTGCTGCAGACAAGTCGAAATGGAGATCAGACATTGTTTATGGATGAGTTTTTTGTTGACTGGAGACAGAAGCGAACTTGGCTTAATTTCAGTGTATTCTCATGCATTGTTCTTTGGCCTTTGTACGCGTGCTGTGGTATTATTATTATTATTATATAAGCTGCGGCTATATGACTTTTTGGGGGAAATTTTGCAGGCTTCCCCATGAGACAGGCTTCTATACAAGACAGGTGTTTCTATGTACCGTAAAAGCAGAACTTTTCGGTGGTGTTCTATTTTCGGTAACTTTGGCGCCGGCAATTTTTTACTAAAATAAAACGCACCGAAAATGTCGGTACTAGTCTAGCAAGAGTAGATACTGTACAGGCAGAAAATTTCCTCGGTCAATAATTTCGTCCAACTCCAAAGAAAGGGATTTCGTCCGGTTGAAAATTTAGTCCATGGACTATAACAATGACTGTATTGAAACGCTGGACAAATCGACATTCGTCCGTCATTTAATTTAGTCCCAAAGCTGCTTGGACGAAAAAGACGAAATTAAATTCCAGACGAATATTTCTGCTTGTACAGTAAACAAGAGTGTGCAACTCCCGGATGGGTTGGCCCATGGCGGAATTTTTTGTTGACGTAATCGTTTCTACGACCCACGCGCTGTGAGTCTTTTGGAAAGTTTTGCCTCGTGCACTTGGCCGGGCTTTACATTACAAGGTCGGTGCCCAGCACATGCTCTCACACTGCTCTGCGGCAAGATGCGCGTTTTTCTTAAAAAAAAGGTGACGTCAACAAAAAATTCCGCCGCGGGCAGGCGTATCTGCAGATTGTGCAGGAGAGATCCGGAGTTGCACACTCTTGTTTGTCTACTCTTGCTACCAGTACACTTAGGGGCCGTCCGGGGTTACCGATTGTTTTACAAAACGAAAAGTTTTAGTATTTTTCAGCCCCCAGTGCTAGGGCTGAAACGATCATTTAATAACTCCCAACGATCAACCAATATCATTAGCAATCGATATATTGGTTTTATCGATTCTTGTCGGCTCTACTTACCCACTCACCCCTACCGTTAGGCGCTGCATCTGCCGCTAGGGTTTATCGGGTGTTAGCGGCCGTCGTGAGTTCCCTTCGGGAACGGATACGATAATTTACTTTTTTTTTTTTTTGTCGGCTCTACTTGTGTACCTAGCACACCAGTTTATGAAGAAATTCCATGATACCTTTGGTACATTAGAAATTTGTGGCACCGCACCGTTGACATCTGTGGAAATCTGGCTGGTTTTATCAACATGAACTAGATAATTTCATGTTGTTTCTAGAGCAAAGAATCTTGTCATCACCCTCTGGCAACTGCTCTTATGTCCGACCTCTCACACAAATGAACCAAAAAGACAAAGTCTTCTCTCCCGACAGTATTCTAGCCCTTGCACTCCATCCGATACTGAATACGAGTGCAATGATGGTATATACACAGAAGCCTTGCTTGGTAGTTAACCGGGTTATGGTTGTAGTCAGGAGCACTACGCGTCCTCGCCTTGTAACATGCTGTCAAAATCGAAGAACATGTTAGAGTACAATCATGTACTTCCAAGCGCGGTAAAATTGATTTCTGGCTTTGAAAGAGATCACTGATATGCATGCATAATAAATCGTTAGCACTCGTTTTGAACACTAACGATTATCGATTGCACTCTTAACGATCGATATGCGAGTTATCGGTATAATTGTTTCAGCCCTAGCCCCCACCCACCCACCTATCTTTTCTGCAGGTAAAACGAATTCCAATAAAATATTGATGTCAATTTTCGACACCCAGAAGTAACTGGACATTCTCCATCTGCATTCAATAATTATTTTCAAAACCCACCCACCCCCACATGAAAAATTTTCGTTTTGAAAATATTATTGGTAAAGATATTGATATGTGAGACATCAAGGCATTCTTGCTGTCAAGTCAATCTATTTTTCGTTCAGGGGGGTGGGTGGGTGGGTGGGGGAGGGTCCTAACTAAACTTTTTCGTTTCGTGAAAATTATCGATAATGCCGGATAGCCCCTTTACCTGGAAAACGGTTTTCCGAAAATGTATGCTTTTACAGTATGCCAACACTAAAACCAGGCTTATGTGCCAACAGTGTATCTTCTCTTCTGCGTTGTACATACCATAATGTCACGTATAAAGCAGGTGCTTACGGCCGTATAAGCCGGGGTTGAAACAGCGCTTCTATTCAAGCTATGCTTCTACGTCAACATCTTCAGCCTACACTGCACAGTGTACATTGTCACACATGTTTTTCGATTTTGACAGCATGTTACAAGGCGAGTTGCACATTCTCAGGAGCGTGTTCACTCTTGGTAATACATGTATCAATAAATTGGCATCGTATTTCCGTTGACTGGACTATGCTACCTTCACCCATAGTACTGCTACAGAAACCCATTCACAGTCTGAAAGATCACCAGACAAGCTAGCACCAAGAGTACATAACCCCCCAGAGTGTGCAACGCCGATCCAGCTCTGCATAGGGTCTTGGTCGAGCGGAATCGGATCTTCTGATGTCATGCGTACACTCCACACCAGCGCAAAGCCGGTCTCGAGGCAGGGTACCGTTGTTTTTGATCCGAGAGTACCCGCGACTCCCCGGGTTCCCCTCAGATGTGTACGGTATTATGACGCAAAGATCCGATTCCGCTCGACCAAGACCCTATGCAGAGCTGGATCAGGCGTTGCACACTCTGGGGGGTTATGTACTCTTGCTAGCACTTGTGCCAATTACTTCTTCAAATAAATAGTCTACTAGTACATTGTACCGGTAAGCAGACAGACGCACGCGTGCGCAACACACACACACACACGCACACACACATACACACACACACACACACACACACACACTACTACTACTACTAGCAGCATGACTGCCCAGAGGGGCAAGTGCACACACACACACACACACACACACACACACACACACACACACACACACACACACACACACACACACACATACAGAGTTCTGTGCATACCCCATTTCCTACGCACAGTCGCCTCCAACATAGGTTTCAACTCCATCAGTCGCACAGAGTAGATCTGCGAATACTGCTGGGAAAACGTCCTGCTCTGCGTTAGAAAGCGTGATGAAAGATTCTCATAGGAGCATGTGCGCCGTTCCGCGCGGCCATCTATGCTTGCCTTCTCTGCCGCCATCATCTTCAACAGTAAGAAATGATAGGCAGGGGATTTGTTCGGGGTCAAGACTAGTAGTAGTATTGACTGCCTCGATCTGTTCCGTGTTCGTTCAGCCAACTCAAACTCGTTTCTACCTGCAAATTCAGGTGTTGCTGATCACACGCGCATAATTATTGCACACTTGCACAGACACCGGTGTTGTTTCTTCAACTTTCCCGCCATTCCGACCTCGAATATTTTTTTGCACCTTTCCATAGGCCATGCGGATCAGCTCAGGCAGGGAGTCGTAAAATACCGGTATTTTACGACTCCCTGGTTCGAAGGCATCATTCAAGTGTTGTTAGTTACGACACTAAGTACACTGACTGTTTATCATAAAGACATAATGGACTCTTCTTGTCAGAGTAGTAGTAGCAAGAGCATCATCAGTCTGACACCACCCACACAAGGTTTGTGTTACTTATTAGGCTCTGGGCATTTTGTTGTGTGATTGTGGTCCGGTATAGTGGTGGCGCGAACAATCAATCAATCAACATTCACATTGATTGATTTTTATTTAAGGATTGTCCAAATGAAGCAGAGACTGATGAGAGAGAGAGAGAGAGAGAGAGAGAGAGAGAGAGAGAGAGAGAGAGAGAGAGAGAGTTTTCTGTGTTTCTGCACTGTAAGTGTCATGATCCCCAGACTCCAGAGCACTGAAAGAAGAAGTGACGTATCACTATTCTGTGCTATCCCTAACTATCCAGTGTAGCAGATAATTATGACAGTGACCCCATGCCAGTAGTACTGCACTCACGGCACTGTAGATCTACACTGTACTGCACTCACTGCACTGTACACTGTACACTGTACTGCACTGTACACTGTACTGCACTGTACACTGTACTGCACTGTACACTGTACTGCACTGTACACTGTACTGCACTGTACACTGTACTGCACTGTACACTGTACTGCACTGTACACTGTACTGCACTGTACACTGTACTGCACTGTACACTGTACTGCACTGTACACTGTACTGCACTGTACACTGTACTGCACTGTACACTGTACTGCACTGTACACTGTGCCTCTCTCTGTGGTACATGTAATAGTAATACAGGTACAGAAACACAAGTGGCCGAGTTTGTGTGTGCACGCACACGCACGTACACACATGCACACGCGCGCGCACACACACACACCATGTACCGTGTACCATGTATCCGCCTGTCGCAAGAGAAGCACGCAAAGTCTGCAAATGCACTCTGGATCTGCACCCACAGATTTTCTCTTTATAGCAACTGGCGAATCCATGTGAATCGACCCCAATGCACACCTGGTCTACACCACGCGGAGTACATCGAAATAGGACGGCCAAGACACACACACACACACACACACACACACACACACACACACACACACACACACACACACACACACACACACACATGCACACACACACACACACACACACACACACACACTGCAATAATCCCGACTGTGACTTGGCACGATAGTGATGCTAATCCTAGACATGAATATAATAGTATACAAGTAAATAAATAACTACTTGAAGTATATGCAAGTATATGTTTGTGTTCAATTGTTCATTGAAAGAAATCTAATCTGGCCCATTGTTGTACGGCATTCGGAAATGACTATAAAATAATGATAAAATCCCAGATGCAACGACGGGCAACTACCATTAGTTATCATTATCAGAAGAGCAGATCAAGGTCGCTGAGAGAAGAAAATAACCTGATGAATTCCACTTTGAATGAACGAACTCTCTCACACACACACACCGCACACACACACACACACACACACACACACACACACACACACACACACACACACGCACATGCACAAAGCAGGAAAAAAGGTCGTGAACATAAATCTCTGGTGGTCAGACTCTGAACTTGAGTCAGAAGTACATGTACTTACTTGTACAATAATGCAGTGACATATTTGTTTGCTCAAGGTGTATAATAACTCTGTCGATATAACATGGACAGCTCACATTGCATCTTGCAAGCAACAAGAAAGCAAAAAATATGCATCTGGATATGGGAGGAGGCATGAATACATTCACCGCGTCATGACAGAGCACTCAACAGCATTGCAGTTGATGCTGCATGCATGCAGCCATGCTCTAGACGAGCGGAGGCGCGCACACGAGCACACACCATCCGCCTCGTGTCACGGTACTGAGCCTGCACAGCCTATGCTCTAGAGCACCAGGTTGAGATGACTAGTGTGCAGGCTAATGACAAACTGCGGCTGACACACATACCGCGCATCACTGACAGAGAGGAAACCTGTAGCTGCGTGACTGTTATTGTAGATAGTCGGGCCAATGCAGTAACGTCGTTGGCCTGCGGTGCGGTAACAGCTACCCATAGGGAAGAATGGAAATGCTATCCAAGCAGCATGATTCCACAGGACCAATTACAAGCTGCTTGCTGGTATCCGCACTGCAGTATCCAACAGTCGGTGACGTGTATGCTATCCTTTACTAATACTGACGGGAAGAGGCCCGGCGTGCGGTATGACGCTTGGCTGCTACATGCTTAGTAGAGGTAGCACGTGCAGAAAATGCAGCCATCTGTTGCGGAGTCAACGCTTCATACTCTTTGTCTCCAAGCATAGTAACTTCAGCTGCCTCAACTGCTTCAGCTGGTTTAACTGAAACCTGGTGTGCAGACATGCGTGAAGCCTTTCCACGCTTTGCAGGGGAAGCGCGTGCAGAAAAAGCGGCCATCTGTTGCGGAGTCAACGCTTCATACTCTTTGTCTCCAAGCATAGTAACTTCAGCTGCCTCAACTGGTTCAACTGGTTTAACTGAAACCTGGCGTGCAGACATGCGTGAAGCCTTTCCACGCTTTGTAGAGGGAGAATGTGCAGAAAATGCGGCCATCTGTTGCGGAGTCAACGCTTCATACTCTTTGTCTCCAAGCATAGTAACTTCAGCTGCCTCAACTGCTTCAGCTGGTTTAACTGAAACCTGGTGTGCAGACATGCGTGAAGCCTTTCCACGCTTTGCAGGGGAAGCGCGTGCAGAAAAAGCGGCCATCTGTTGCGGAGTCAACGCTTCATACTCTTTGTCTCCAAGCATAGTAACTTCAGCTGCCTCAACTGGTTCAACTGGTTTAACTGAAACCTGGCGTGCAGACATGCGTGAAGCCTTTCCACGCTTTGTAGAGGGAGAATGTGCAGAAAATGCGGCCATCTGTTGCGGAGTCAACGCTTCATACTCTTTGTCTCCAAGCATAGTAACTTCAGCTGCTTCAACTGCTTCAGCTGGTTTAACTGAAACCTGGCGTGCAGACATGCGTGAAGCCTTTCCACGCTTTGTAGAGGGAGAATGTGCAGAAAATGCGGCCATCTGTTGCGGTGTCAACGCTTCATACTCTTTGTCTTGAAGCGGAGTCACTTCAGCTGCTTCAGCAGTGGCTTGACGAGAAGCCCCTGTACTGTCTCCATGCAGAGTTACTTCCGTCGTAGCTGAAGCCTGACGTGAAGCCTTTCCACGCCTTACGGAGGTATTACGGACGGAAGACGTGGCCATTTGCTCGGGTGTGAGCGCTTCATACGACTCGTCACCTACTTCTTGTATTTCAATCTCAACCGGCTGGACAGACGACTGACGAGAGGCCGATGCACGTCGCGTGGACGTGTTGCGCGCGGCAAACACTTCCACCTGCTGGGGTGTGAGGGCTTCGTACTCCTTGTCTTCCATCTCGGTGACAATGTTGCCATGTGATGCCCAGCTGGCGGCATCCAAAGTGGCAGCATCAGTCTCTACAATACCGCCGCCGGTAGAGGAGATGTAGCGCCTATGGGCATCAGTTGCAAAGGAACGTGACCGTGCCATATGCTGTGTGCCATCTGTGTGTGGACCAGGGGCGAAGGAATGGGACCTTGCCAAATGCTGTGTGCCATCTGTGTGTGGACCAGTGGCGAAGGAATGGGACCTTGCCAAATGCTCTGTGCTATCTGTGTGTGAATCAGGGGCGAAGGAATGTGACCTTGCCAAAAGCTCTGTGCCATCTGTGTGTGGACCAGGGGCGAAGGAATGGGACCTTGCCAAATGCTGTGTGCCATCTGTGTGTGGACCAGGGGCGAAGGAATGGGACCTTGCCAAATGCTGTGTGCCATCTGTGTGTGGACCAGGGGCGAAGGAATGGGACCTTGCCAAATGCTGTGTGCCATCTGGTTGGGTGACTGCCACGCAAACTCCAGAATACCTTGTGTCGACTATGGCACCGTGCGCTGTGTGTGGAGCATCTAAACCTGTATGATAGTGATATTGCTGCTGCTGCTGCTGCTGCCTGTGTGGCACTGAGTACTCAGGTTGTTGTTCAGCATTGCCCAATGCATGTTGTTCAGCATTGCCCAATGCATGTTGCTCAGCATTGCCCAATTCATGTGTCTGTCTGCCTATATGTTGTTGAGAGTGAGCTTGGTTGGGTACGGAGTACTGATCATGTCCGTACTGTTGCTGCTGTGGCATGTTCAAAGCGTAGCCGGGGCTTACGGAAGCATCTGCGGGCGGACAAGACGAACGCGTTGCAGGACTTGGCGTAGAGGCATTGGTGGTCGGCATTTCCGCAGGTGCACAATAGCCAGTGCTCGATGGGGATTTTGTGTAGCTGTTGGCAGTCTGATCCAAGCCAGGCATGCTACTCGGCATAGAGGCGTTGGCGATAGGCATTCCCGTCGGCGCACTGTAACCAGGGCTCGGGGACCTCGACATGTAGCTGTTCATCCCAGGATGCACGCCAGCCGCTATACCACTGTACATGCCGTCGTCAGCACCTTCATTAAGCACGTTCTCCACCGAGTCGTACTCACCGCCTGCTGCCCACGTGCTCAAGTCAGCACCGTCGCCATTGTCAGCACCATACTGAGCTGGTGAGCGCGGTGTGTGCTGGCAGTTGTTGGCAGGTCTGCCTGAACCAGCGGCTGTCCAGTATATAGCATCACCGTGGTTACCGTCATCTGCCCAATCCCCGTTGTTGCGCTGCTCGGGCGGCATACTGCCATCTTTCCTATTGGGTATATGCAGGTAAAGTCCATCGGCACGAAGACCAGCAGCAGCACCAGCAGCACCAGGAGGATGTATGCCCATCTCACTAGTCATCACATACTCTCCTGTTGACGTCTTCTGGCCCAAAGTCAATGCGTAGCCATTATCAACTGCACACGTGTTGGACATGCTGCCATCGAACCCTATGTCACTCCAGGAGTCAGATTTCTGCCGGCTGCAGGACTGCTTGCCTTCCAGAATGGTGAGTTCAGCTAAACCGTTTCGCTTTGGCCCAAAGCCCAGCTTCACGGCCATTGTGGAGCGTGCTGGGGTAGCTGAGTCAGGAAAACCATCAGCTGCGTCCGAACTTTCGCGCCGTCCAAACAAACTCCTGCGAGACAAAAGCACACACAGCACAAGAAAAGGACAGGGGGGAATCATCTCCTTGGCTTTCTTGTTATTGGGCAACCTGCTCGTTAGAATTTCCGAAGAAGAATAAACAACAACAGTTACAACACAAATAATTATCTTGGAATAATCTTTCAACATGACCTCCGTTGGACGGAGCATGTTGAATACATAGTCAAAAATCACTCAAGTCTGTCAATATTCTTTTTAGACTACCATGTAGCATGTATACGCCCGTCGCAAGAGAAGCACGCAGATCTGCAAATGCACTGGATGTGCACCCACAGATTTTCTCTAATATAGCAACGATAGCGGACAAGACATGAATGAGACAGATCAAGACTAGCGCCAGATAACTGTCCAATCCACACAAGCTGCGAAGCCATGTGAATTGACCACCAATGCACACCTCAGTCCTGGTCTACACCACACGGAGTACATTGGCATAAAACGGCCAAGACAGTTACCTATGCACACCCTACACTTTTAGACTAAGGTCTACACTCACCAATGATTCTTTATCTCCCAGCATATCAGACGTGCATCCTACCTATATTCTCATATGCGAGCAATGCTCTCACACCGTTGTCTCACACTTCCTTTGACAGGGTAGAACGACTCCAGCGGAAAGCCGCCAGAGTATGTCTCCACCTTCCCCATTACACACCCTTAAACACTCCTACCTTTTGCATCGCATCAAATGGCCAACATTATTTTCACGCTTTAAAGTTAGCCCTTTCAGGGCCACTACTGATTCCACGTATTCCCGCCAGGGCACACGCTGACACGTTTCTACTGCCAAGTCCTGCTTGAGTTCTGTGAACTCAAGTAAGGCGACTGGTAGTGATGGTGTGCCGGGCCTACTTCTTCGCAAGTTTTCCTCGATACTGTAAATTGCCTAATACAGTAGATATTGGTTATAACGTGCCCTTCTGATTTTTCACATTTTATCACTATAACCGGTATATCACTACAGGCGATTTTCAACTGCGCTCGTCATACATACACATTATACACGTGTCGGTACTCGATCGCGCTAATGTAGCATACTGATACATGATGCATGCTGCTGCACCTTCTCCAGTCTAGAGTGAAGAACTTCTTGGCCCAAAGGCATCATCCAGGAAGCATCAGACCAGAATACACTATGAAAACACACATGTGGCTCCAAGTTGAGACATCAATGCCTCACACTCGTGTGTTGCTATCACTATAGACGATAATTTTTCTGCACAAAGAGGTGTTTTGAATGGTGATTCTGTATCCTTATAGCCGATTTATCGCTATATACGATATATTGGTTATAATGATAATTTGACTGGCTTTTTCTGGTTTTGCTTTTGATATTTTCATTTTGTATCAATATAGCCGGTTTATCACTATGTCCGATGACTTTATAACCGATATCCACCGTATTCGCGACGGATTAATGTTCGCTATTTTCGCGAGAAGAGCGTAACGCGAATATTAACCATCGTGAAATCTAATTTCAACAGTGTGTGTATGTACGTGACCCCCGTGCTTCGCGAACTTTTGCCATCGCAAACTCGCTGGTTCTAAGAAATCGCGAAAATTTAGTGACGCGAATATTGGGCGGTTTACAGTATTGGCAACTTTTGTGCACTTGCACATGTTGTCCAGGCGTCAGGGGCCCAGCCTCCCTGTCCATCCGACCCGCCACACACAACAACGATAACTGGACTAAGAGTTCTACATAATTTCTTGACAAGACGGAGACGGACAGACAAGAAGACCGGACACGACGAGGTAAACTGATAACTGAAGAAAAAGACTAACATTATGGCAGCATATACGCATGCGCACAAACAAAACATAACGCATGACAATGACGTAACCGTTACTTGGATCATGTACAAACTATAGACCTTATTCGATAAACGTCACAATCACGTGAACCGGGGTCCCGGGAACCAGGGAGTGGCAAGAGATCTGCGCTCAGTGCACAGTGGACTCTGTGTGCGAACATAGGAGTAGATAAATACCGGTATTTTACTACTCTTTTGTACGAACTGGGCCTTTCTTGCCACTCGTTTCTCGTACGCGTGCCCTAGCTTATGACAAATCCCTGGAGGCGAGTCCAAAAATCACGTTATCGAATAAGGTCTATACATGCAACCAAAACCAGTCAAATACGAGTCAAAGCAGAACGCAAAACAAACCAAAATAAACGAAAGGACCACAACAAAAATGAGCCATGAAAAGTCTTTCTACCGATACACAACAGCAACCAACCTCATCAAAATGATCAACTATTCACTCAGAACAGGCCAAATTCCTTCCACCTTCAAATCCTCACATATGTCACCCCTCTGTTTACGGTTGGCGACCCAACCTCACCTACTGTAGTACGCGACCGAGTGACAAGGCAAACTGGTTCAGTCTCTCCGACTCAAAACACAAGTAGTAGTCTCAGGGAAATTAGTATTGCACGAAAAGACAAACGTAGGTAGCACAGAACTTATAGTATACTGAAAAACTCAAGTGAAAGGTAAGACTACAGAAACAACGGAAGCAAAGACTCTGCAACAACTGAGCTGGGGAACTGACAGACGGATCTATATACGGTACGAGATTGCCAGTTACAGCTCCGAGCGCTAGCTAGCGATCTCTAAATGAAAGCAAGGGATCTGATGGTGCCAGCAATGCATAGTGCAATACATAGTAATACATAGTGATTTGTGTAGGGGAAAGTCCGTCTACTACACCTACAAACTACCGCCCAGTTTCCCTGCTACCCATCATCTCCCGTATTCTGGAGGCATTTGTAAAGAAACAGCTCACCACCTATCTCGAATCAGCACAGCTTCTACCCACTAGCCAATTTGCCTATCGTAAACCACCTCTATCATGCAGTATTCTGTTCTCGAGGTTCGTGGTTTCTCGTAAAAAACAAACAACACTCCACAGAGGATGCACTTGTCCTCGCAGTCAACAGATGGTCTCTAGCCACATCTCGACGAGAGTACACTGGAGTTGCGTTTGTAGACATGTCGAAAGCGTTTGATCGCGTTGAACACGAGCGCCTTCTGACCCAACTCTTCTCTCTTGGCATATCTGGTACCCCACTCACTTGGTTTGCCGATTACCTCTCAGGCCGCTTCCAGCAGATCAGAGTTCAGGGACGTCTCTCTCCTGCCGTTTCTTGTTCTCGAGGTGTCCCACAGGGCAGCGTTCTTGGTCCCCTGCTATTTGTCTTGTACACTAGCACATTGAGTACGATCCTGCCAACGCGGTAAACCACCAAGAATTTGCGGACGATACTACTCTCGACTGCTCAGACACCGGCCCTACTCAAGTATGCCGAACCCTCAGCCACGCCATCACAAGCCTCGCCACATGGCTCGAAGATATTGGTTTGCTGCTGAATGCAGCAAAAACTCAGCTTTTTTCATAAAGCCCCGTGGCGCAGATGACACACAGCCTGAGGTGTTGTGCCATGCTGACAAACTTGCTGTCACTCCTTCGGCTAAGTCTCTCGGGGTAACACTCGATGATGAGCTGTCCTGGAAGCCCCACATTGCACACCTGAGCCACAAGACTGCTAGGACCATTGGCCAGTTCATTGGCCACTCCTACAGCAACTCTTTACAACGACTGCTCCAAACACTGTGCTAAACGATCAGCGCATCACTAGGGGCCAAGTTGCTCCTTTTTTCATAAAGCCCCGTGGCGCAGATGACACACAGCCTGAGGTGTTGTGCCATGCTGACAAACTTGCTGTCACTCCTTCGGCTAAGTCTCTCGGGGTAACACTCGATGATGAGCTGTCCTGGAAGCCCCACATTGCACACCTGAGCCACAAGACTGCTAGGACCATTGGCCAGTTCATTGGCCACTCCTACAGCAACTCTTTACAACGACTGCTCCAAACACTGTGCTAAACGATCAGCGCATCACTAGGGGCCAAGTTGCTCCAAGTTCCTTTCCTTCGCGGGCCTGCTGGTCGCTCAAGTATGATGTTTCACGGCAGTATTGCATGGAATGCCCTCTCGGCTGATGTAAGTAGTTCTCTCCCCCTCTCTTGCTTCCCAACCCGCCCCCGCTCTCTCTCTCTCTCTCTCTCTCTCTCTCTCTCTCTCTCTCTCTCTCTCTCTCTCTCTCTCTCTCTCTCTCTCTCTCTCTCTCTCTCTCTCTCTCTCTCTCTCTCATGGAGTTGTGCACGCGGACGTGCGACCAGTTGTTGGAGGTGACAGCGTTGCGAATAGCTATACTGGCTCTCAACGTCTGTTTATCACAACTCCATGACCGACTCTGACTCAAGCTGCTACCTGGAGCTTCACGAGGTGTTCGTCGCGCTGGAAACAAAGCGTCTCTGTAAGTTTGTATCCCTGGTGATGGTTTGGCCTGGAGAGCAGTATATAAGTGGTGCTTTTCAGGCACAATCTTCCTCAGCCTACTCAAGCTCAACTGATGAGGGGTGAATTCCCCGAAACACCGTGTATTGAGCAGGGAGTGGTGCTTTCTTGCAGGTTTGCCGAGTGGAAGGTGCGACGTGCTCCTCGTGTGCTCCGGATGGCAGTCGTGAGTCAGTCAAGTGTCAAGTTCGGCAAGAAGCGTGTGTTCCTAGTTGGAACAATCAACTTCATGACTATTACCGCCGAAGTCGCAACTTCTAAGTTCGTATTGTTGTCCCTCACGCGGACGTGCGACTAGTTGTTGGAGGTGACAGCGTTGCGAATAGCTATACTGGCTCTCAACGTCTGTTTATCACAACTCCATGAGCGACTCTGACTCACGCTGCTACCTGGAGCTTCACGAGGTGTTCGTCGCGCTGGAAACAAAGCGTCTCTGTAAGTTTGTATCCCTGGTGATGGTTTGGCCTGGAGAGCAGTATATAAGTGGTGCTTTTCAGGCACAATCTTCCTCAGCCTACTCAAGCTCAACTGATGAGGGGGAAATTCCCCGAAACACCGTGTATTGAGCAGGGAGTGGTGCTTTCTTGCAGGTTTGCCGAGTGGAAGGTGCGACGTGCTCCTCGTGTGCTCCGGATGGCAGTCGTGAGTCAGTCAAGTGTCAAGTTCGGCAAGAATTGTGTGTTCCTAGTTGGAACAATCAACTTCAATACTAATCTCACTATAATTATTATTTCTTATTGGCCACAGGCCATCATGAGAATAAAGATTTGAAACAACAACAACAACAACAACAACAACAACAACCGTCTGCATAAGTGCCAACACTGAGTGCAGCCAGTTTGCCGATGACACTGCCATCATTGCCGCTCACAAGAAATTTCTAGCCGCAGAAAAGCACCTCCAGTCAGCTGTGACAACCGCCGCACAGTGGCTGAAGGATTGGCATCTCCTAGTCAATGAAAGTAAGACCACTGTCATCCACTTTCACCACACCAACCGGCCACCTCCCAGACCACCATCAATCACGCTCAACGATGCCAACCTCACTGTGGCCTCAAGGCACCGCCACCTTGGCCTCCTCATACAGCATAATCTATGTTGGAACTCACATGTCGACTATGTCATCACTAAAGCGTCCAGGAAGATGTTCCTTCTCCTGCGACTACGCAATCACTTCTGCTCTCTACTCCATCTATCTATCTTACATCCGCCCTGTTCTTGAGTATGGTTGCACTGTCCTCTCACCCCTCCCCGCAACCCTCAGCAACCGGCTTGAGCGCATCCAACGGCGCGCCGCTCGCCTCTGTTCGCGTCTCCCCCTCTTTGAAAACAGGACCCACTCCGTGCTGCTGCACCGGCTCAAATGGCCATGACTTAGAAGCCGCCGTACCCTCTTCCATATTCTTCTTGCACATAGCCTGCGCCATAGATATGCACCACCACACCTTCTTGCAATTCACCTACCCCGAATACAACCCATTCGCATGCTCAGGTTCCCCCGAACCTTTGAGCTACCTACAACACGCACAAACCGGCTTAGAGACCCCCCCATCTATGTTTCTCTTGATCTCTTTAATAGCATCCCACTCAGCCTCCGGCAAATCAACCCCAGACGAGATTTCAAAGCAAACATCCTACCTCTTGTCATCTCTTCCGTATGTACCTGCTCACATTGCTCAGCACATCTATAGTCCCATTGTACCCAGCCTATGTGATAAACTCCCTATTGCCATCGCTACTATTTCAGCAAGCAGCTAAACTTTGATCACTCTATATCCGATCCCCGTACCTGTAATTCTTTTTCTCTTATTGGCCACAGGCCATCGTGAGAACGAGAGAGCTTGGAAGCCCAGGGCCCTTCGCTATGCTTTTTTGCCTTGATGACCTATGGAAAAATACAGAGGGATGTTATAAATTTTTCATTTCTCCTATTTTTTTCAAGACATAACCTGGGATTCGAACCCGCACTGTCGCCCTGCATGCATTCCCCGATACACTTCGCATAGATACTAATTCTTCCAAGTTGCTTCACGTTATGATCTTGCATTTGAAAGCTCTATTTGAATATTGTGGCCAGCTGTTTGTGGCCAGCCGTCTTTGATGGTACGGTACGGGACAGGTACGGTCGAGGGTAATACGACACCGTCTACCACCTTGATGACCTAGGCAAAAAAGCATAGCGATGTTATAAAATTTTCAATTCTCCTATTTTTTTCAAGGCATAACCTGAGATTCGAACCCGCACAATCGCCCTACATGCATTACCCGATACACTTCACATTCATACTCATTCTTCCAAGTTGCTTCATGTTATGATCTTGCATTTGAAAGCCCTATTTGAATATTGTGGCCAGCTGTTTGTGGCCAGCTGTCTTTGATGGTACGGTACGGGGCAGATACGGGATAGCGCCAGACGGAGGTCCGTCCGCCACAAACAAACAAATAAATAAACACCAAATTAAAGCTGTGTGGACCCTGGCTAGCGCCAGACATCACTGAAGTAACGTCTTCTGCATAGCTACGGGAATAAAATATTTCAAACTCGGCAACTGCAGCGGCAGCAGCATAATAATACTTACCGTAAAGTCTTGTATAAAAGCCACACTTGAATAGAAGCCACCCTCGAATAGAAGCCGCAATTTTGGGCCCATCAAATCACACATAAGCCTGGTTTTAGTGTTGGCATGCATAGAAATACCTGTCTTGTATAGAAGCCTGTCTCTTATAGAAGCCTGCAAAATTTCACCAAAAAAGTCATAGAAGCCGCGGCTTTTATACAAGACTTCACGGTAGTTTAAGTAGTACGAGCAGGAAGAGTACTGGAATACTTACACAGTAGACAGGCGCTTGGTGGCATTACCCATTTTGAGGTCGTTGACGACACCCTTGGAGCGTAGGTAAACGAATCCCAGCACAGCAAGAATGGCGACAACAATGACGGTTACCACGGCGATGATAACAGATAAGTTCGACTGTGTGGTAGCACGACCACCTTCCGTGTTCCCGTCCGCAGATGAAGTAGTTATGTTAGTGGCTGGTGTGCCACTAGCAGCTGAAGATGTACTGCCGTCACTAGTGGCTGTAGTGCGGCCTGGCATGCTCTGAGATGTAGTAGCACTGTTACTGACGTGTGCCCGGTGACTGGACGTTTGTGCAGATGGACTTGCAGTTGGCGTCCTTGAAATTGCTGCATTGGTTGCTGTCCGTGGTGGTCGTGGAGAGGTTGTCCCCGGTCTTGGTGCAGGGGTAGTACCTGTTGGGGCTTTCTGTCCGGCACTTGTCCCCGGTCCGGGTGCAGGGGTAGTACCCATTGGGGCTTTCTGTCCCGCACTTGTCCCCGGTCTTGGTGCAGGGGTGGTACCTGTTGAGGCTTTCTGTCCCGTACTTGCCGGGGTTGTTTGTCTCGGACGGATTGTCGCTGCTCGTTGTGCACCCATTGAGGTGGTGGTCGGTACTGGACCCGGTACCAGGGTTGATGGTGGATCCGTTGATGGGCTTCCTGTGAATACAAGAACAGAGCATTTAAGCACGGCATTACTCGGATGGTTCTCTCCAGTATTTTACTTCTACCTCCTTTAACCCTTTATGGACGGATTACTAGCACAGTATGCACCAGAATTACAAAATGTGAGTACAATTTTCAACTTTTCCATGTCATAAATTTGGTGTCCTTCACTTGATTTTCACAATCAAGGGCTCATTGGAAAGCTCTTGGCGAGAGCAATGCCACGGTACCAATCTCCATTATCCAGCCGCCACAAATCAGGCGCGGTAACACAGCAAAGTCGTCTCCAAGCCTGATATGCAAGCAAATTCGTCCCATCAACGCCATTCCACTCTCCTTCATCGCAGAACGCTCAAATCTGTTTGAGCCGATTCAAACTTCAGCTGGCTACGTCATTATCATGTGCTCAGTCGCTCAAAGAGCACACGAAAAGGGATTTCCCCAAAAATGGCGAAATGATCAATCAAAAATTTGAATTTGCCGAGGTAAGAATACTTCGTGCGATATCTCTGGCGTCCGACATCTCTTCGGCGATTGTTGCATTGGACAGCTTGGAGTTTACGCTACCACGTAGACCCTTCGATTGTGGAATTTGCTCAAGAAACGAAGGAGTTACGAAGATTTTACCGCGTGCAGACTTTCGATCTTCGCCATGGTTGTACGTGAAGTGGGCATTTAAGTTGGAGAGGTGCATATGTCAACTCAACTTTCTCTTGCAATGTCGCAGGGAACAACTTACGCCAGTGTTCATCCAGCACTCAATTCCTAGCGCCTGCAATTACATGTATGCACGCACCTAGTGTACATGTACATTCTGTTTGGTGCCTGTACCTGTGCCATATTTAGAGTTGTCGCGTATTGCGTTATTTCTATACCAGGGTTTTTGTGATGTTTTGTCCTTTTTTTCTCTCTCTCGTAATAGTGCATGCAGGTGTGATTTGTTATCAGTTCGCAGCGCTCCTCATTTATTAACCCATCCTAACCGATGTGCCCACTTCATTCCTGATGATGGTTATTTCATAACCGAACCGTTGAAATAAAATATTTTTCTGGTGAAAAGCAGTGATTTGAGTTTGAGCCAGTGTTGCTCACAACCAATTTTTCTATACTTCAAGTATTACAAAATAATTGAGAGGCTTTGAATCGTTTTTATCAAAATCTAAATATTTGCCGGGTTGGAAGGTGGGAATCAAAAAATCAAAAAAAAATCATCATCATTATCGTCATCATCACAAGCCCATAGCCCTAAGGCCGTAGGGGCGTCACAGAGCAAGTATGAACAAGCGAGCGCCATAAAAAATCGATCGCGTGCAGCAGCGAGCAGTATTACCGGTATGCATGTAAAAAATGGCAATCACAATTGTGCTATGCGGTCTGTGCGCGTAGGATTCGTGGGCACTGAACTGGCCAGTACAGCTTGCTCGTGCACACTGTATTGGCCAGTACGGCTCGCTCATGCACACTGAACTGGCCAGTACAGCTTGCTCATGCACACTGAACTGGCCAGTACAGCTTGCTCATGCACACTGAACTGGCCAGTACAGCTCGCTCATGCACACTGAACTGGCCAGTACAGCTCGCTCATGCAAACTGAACTGGCCAGTACCGCTTGCTCATGCACACTGAACTGGCCAGTACAGCTCGCTCATGCACACTGAACTGGCCAGTACAGCTTGCTCATGCACACTAAACTGGCCATTACAACTCGCTCATGCACACTGAACTGGCCACTACAGCTTGCTCATGCACACTGAACTGGCCAGTACAGCTCGCTCATGCACACTGAACTGGCCAGTACAGCTTGCTCATGCACACTGAACTGGCCAGTACAGCTTGCTCATGCAAATTGCGCTGATCCGGGGAAGTGGTGACGACATCGAAGGGAAATTCGCTCAGCTCAGGCGTAGTGATGACGACCAGCGAATTGTTGAGTGGATGGCCAAAAAGACCGACAAGTATACAACACCACTGGTCAGACTGGCCAGACTAACTTGTAAGTTGTACCACCTTCCGCCACCCCTGGGAATTATAAGCAGGTGCATGTGACTTAAAAGAGACAATATCTGTAACGACCAAACTTCATCACGCATGGCCAAATTACCAAATCTTGTCAAAATGTGGCTCCCTTTATCCCTGGGTGGACCAAATTCACACGCTATGACAGCTGAGTTTAGTTCAGAAACAAGTTAAATGGTAGCAATCATCCCGCCATTTTTCACAAATCTACACTCAACATGTACATGTAGTTGAAGACTTACTGTTGCACGTGGGTACGGGAGCAGACCAGTGACCAGTCCCATTACACTGGATAGTTTCAGAGCCATTCAAAGAAAAGCCAGTAGTACACTGATATTTGATAGCACTCTTGTGCGGAAACGATGTGGTACTCTCTTCCGTTTTACCTTCCGAAGATAGAGTCCTGGCGCCATTCATAGGTACACCAGGGTCAGAACATGTGACACCTGCATGTGAATAGACAGGTTGAAAAGAGAAAGCTCAACATGATGACATTGCCAAGTTACATGGTTCATTACCTATAAAGGATATTGATAAAATTTAGTGTCACTACGGAGATTTAGCATCACGAATTTCCCTTTCGAGTTCGCGTGCATTTTTCGATTCGCGAACTCAAACGAGAACTTTCGCATTTTCTGTACCGAAAAGCAATCCGGACACGAAACGTGCTTTCGCGTTCAGCTAGTAGTAAGTTTACTACTTTCGACCGATAAAATGCTGATGGCGGGAAAAAACTGAAAATAGAGAGCGCGGTGCACAGGGTGTAAGAGTTCATAACCCCCATGAACCATGATGAACTGTTGGTGCTACCCCCTACCCATGGCACAGCTAGCTTGCCATTTTCAAAAGTGAAAAAATGCTGACTTCAGTTTTTTCCTGGAAAATCACGGGCAGGTTGCGTTCGCGAAACCGCGTTGCAAATCCTCTCGGTGAAAACGAATTTCGCATTCGAGTTCACTTTCAACTGCACGCAAACTCGAACATGAAATGCGTGACGCTAAACTGCGGTATTATCAACACTATTCAACAGTGGTGATAACGACATTGACAATAGATATAAGAAACTTAGACTTGATTAACCAGGTACTTTATTGCACCCTTTAACCCTTTGTGTACCAGCCCCATCTCGAACCGTACCATATGGTACGGTTCGCCGCACTCCAATCAAGCGCGCCGTTCCCCGCCGCCGTAGCTCCGATCGAGCCGCGGTTTTTTGCACTTGACAGCTGAGATCCCACTGAAAATTTTGATTTATGATATGGGCAGGTTGCCATTTGAAAGTATGGAGAACGAACGCGTTCAAAAGTATGCTTTTCAGCGCAAACAATTGTCGCTGTTTCGATCGTGTTCTCGCTCAGTTTTTTCTGCTTGTAGCGAAGATGTAGCTTGTTCTAGGTCATGTCCACGTCTTCTAGACGTGGTGGACGATTGGAGAGATCGGCTGTGGCGATATCATCGCGGAATGCGACTCGAAATTGAAAATTTGTATCGCTGATCCCATCGCAGTATTCACTCTCAAAACAGGAGCGAGAGGGAGGGCAGCGATGGCCTAAAATCGTCAAGGCAGGCGTAATTCACCAGCCAGCGACTGCTTCTTGTCTTCTCTTTCACTTACCTGACGCTGGATGTGAGTAGCTGAAGAAAAATATAGATTTAGAATCTGAGACAAGAATTCAAAATTTGCAATTATTTTGAACCAATTGTTTTACCTCAAATGTGTGACAATATGACCATTTCCCTGGTATGTTGTTACTCTTCATGCACTGAGACAACGCTTATGAGGTTGTTTTGTCCCTATGTTCCCAGTACACGAGCACAAACTCATTCTCAGTCTATTTGTTTGTGGTACCCTGGTTGGTCAGAAATATGCACAATTGGCGCGTATATTTGGTATTCCACCTATGGCCTTCATATACTACTGCATGCTGTACCAATATCCAAGCGTACCTGGGTGCAGTGATACATATGGAGTCATGAAAACACAACTTGCATATACAAAAGTTGTCTAGATTTCATACCATGGTTGCTTCTTTGGCTGCGATAGCCCCTTACATACATTAGATGGCTGGTACATAAAGGGTTAAGAGCGGGCCGACATCGACAATAGATGTAAGAAAATCAAACTTGAACTCTGAACTCTCTCAAAGGGTAAGCAGCAGCTTTTGGCTTGTTTATCAATAAACGAATTCCACCTCATCCATCTCTGGCCCACCTCACACACCAACAACATGACTCCAGTTGACTCCAAGTTGTAGATACTGACAACATAATTTTCCTCCATACAGTGCTATATTGACCACTACAGGTCTCATCAGTGAAGGTTGAGAAGAATGAATGGCTAGAATAAATTTGAAAGCACAGTTTTATACATAGAATGAAATGAAGAAACGTGATCCCGAGCTTAGAGGTAACAGGCGTGTTACTGTAAAACCGGAAAGTCTAACGAGTCACAAAGACCAATTCTTTTTTGGTATTTGACGAAACGTTATCTTGAGATGCTTGTGTAAAGATGCGCATACAGATGGGTGGCCAGGTAGCCATCGTTAACCTTTCTGCACGTTATCATGCCAAAATCACAAAAAACGTTAAAAACATTTTGGTCGATAAACGATTTTACAGTATGTGCTAACACGCGGAGAAAAGGTGGCAGAGGTTGTATCTGTTCACGAGGAGACAGATGATTCCCGGGACATACCACCCTGGGGCCTAAGGAAATTACAACTCCAGCGGAGAGGGCAACTTTGTCTAACTGCTGTTGTTTTATTTTTAGAACAAAGAGAAAGAAATGTTTCATGCGCATGCATGCAAGACTGGGCTTGTGAGGGAGACTGACATCATGCAGCGAGGTCGCCACAAGTGGTGGCGATCATCGCGCCATTTTTCACAAATCTACACTCAACATGTGCATGTAGCTGAAGACTTACTGATGCAGTTGGGTATGGGATCAGACCAGGCATTATTCCCATTACACTGGATAGTGTCCGTGCCATTCAAAGAAAAGCCCTCAGTACATTGATAGGTAACATTGTTCCCATACAGGAACGATTTGGTAATGTTTGGAGATCTTATACTATGTGCAGGTACACCAGGGTCATAACATTCGTCGGCTGCATGTGAATTGACAGGTTGAAAACAGAAATACCAGCATGATGACACTGCCAAGTTACATGGCTCATTACCTGGTGAAGGATATTTTATAATACAATTTAGCGTCGTTATCACCACTATTCAACAGTGGTGAGAACGACATTGGTAATAAGAGTCAGACACTTTTAAACTTGAACTCTGAACTCTCTGCTTTGATCACGAATCTCAGTTAAACATGTGCTGTATTGCGCCTTTTAAGTGCTGTTGGAGGTAATAACAGTACCGTAAAATCCCGCCAGAGCGCCCCTACCTCCTCGACGCTTCGAGTAGGTTCAGGTGGGGAGGGGCGGATGGGCGAGTCCTACTTGACGCATTCAGTACTACATGAAAAAGTACTCACCCTACGAAAACTGTTCGTGCATCTCGTACCCCGACCAAAGGTCAAGAGCCAGGAGTCGTACAGATCCGTCAAAACTCAGGGTTTGTGCGATCTCTGGTCAAGAGGGTGGGCACTGTTGCGTACATTTCCAACGGGGTCGAGCACGCGTCTGCAGTACAGTACGGCATCACAGAGTCATACGAGGATATAATCAATCACTTCCCTAACCAGAAGTCAGGGAGGGGCGGATGGGAGAGACGGGGCGCTCTGGCGGGATTTTACGGTAATTACAAACCAAGGAGATTTTAGCATCCAGAGTCTCTGTTCGGAAGGACGTATAGGATCGCTTGTAATTTTGGTATTTTGTGCATTATTGCTATGCATTTCACGAGTGTAATATTTATTGAGTAAAGGTGGGGAGGCTTCCTGCAGTTTCATAAACAGTTAAAAGTCGAGCCCACACGCTCTCTTCCATTAACACTGCAATGATAACAAGAGCGTGTGGGCTCTACTCTTAACTATAATGCTTATTGTTATTGTCATGACCTGAGTCAGACTTGGCGTGATAACGACCATGCATTGAGCTCCAGCAAGGCAAAAGCTGTAAAAACCATGATTTGTCCTGCGAGAGATTTGGCACTTTCGTTAGTTGAGTAATCATGGCTTACAACTTGTGGCAGAGGTCACCAAGTGTTGTCATACGACGACACCTTCAGTACAGTCGTCAGCCGTTCTACTCACTAAAACTGTTGAGGTTGAGGGGACCACGATTTGTCCTGCAAGGGAGCTAATACCCTTGCTAGTTGAGCAAGAGTGGCACCTCTTGTCGCTTCGTACATCGTAAAGGGTCTGCAGTGCTCCGCGTACTGTGGACTCCGTACCCTTTTGGTGGGAAAGCGGCTTTGCCGTCTGCAACTATGTTTGCGGTAAGATCCTATATTTGGTGAAGCTACAAGAACAACACAGCTACGCTTCCCGCGTGCTGAAATACATCCAAACCCATGCTCACCGCACCAAGACTGGCAAGAGGCAAGAACACGCGGGCATACGAAGATGATTGGTATTCACATTAGGGTGAGCGGGCTCCCCGTATTGTTCGTTGCACTACTATTATTCTAGTTTGGATGATTGCACCACTGTTTGAAATGTAGCAACAATACATACGCATTCTTGCCGCTGTTACCCAATTTGATCTCCTACTGTAGTGTATATAAGGAGCTGTTTTGCTAGCCTTTATCCTCGACTCTCGGGGACTCACTCGATTCACTCTCGATTCTTGGATGGAGAGTCACTCCGACTCTCTCTTGTTCTGGGCCTTTGACCCTACACTCTTGATCTCTTGTTCTGGTAGTGCGGTGCTGCAATAAACACTGTCTCAAGTAGAATTAGAAGCCTGTTGTTCTGTGTGAGCTAGTATCGCCTGTAGTAATAACATCTGCCCAGTGCCTTTCTGATCCGACCCACACTACAGCCGATACCTACTGTATATTGGTCTTCTACCTGGGTAGCCACTAGACTGATCCATCCAGTTGTCACAAACCCGCACCAGGGTCTTGACATTGTGACAGTTCGAATACGTTGTCGGTTCATACCATTACTGCCTATCGTTACGTGTACAATACGACTTGATAACTGTCCTTGAGATATAAGTACGCTGTTTACCATACAGTGCTTGTTATGTGTGTTTGTCGGATACAGCTGTACCATGATATAAATTAGTTGCATAGTACTTACTGGTTTCTAGCATTCTCGCTCTCCACAGACCCATTCGCTTCAACTCAGCAATATTCATCCTTTCGATTTGAATTTCTGTTTGTTCTGCATTCTGACTTATCTTTGTTGCACCTGCACTATCGCACGCGGACTTTTTTTCTGTCGCCATAATCTCTCTGGTTACGTTGGCTCATCATGCATGTGATCATCTCCGCGCAGTGCTGCTTTTCTACTCATCATGCATGTGATCATCTCCGCGCAGTGCTGCTTTTCTACTCTTCATGCATGTGATCATCTCCGCGCAGTGCTGCTTTTCTACTCCTCATGTATGTGATCATCTCCGCGCAGTGCTGCTTTTCTACTCTTCATGCATGTGATCATCTCCGCGCAGTGCTGCTTTTCTACTCTTCATGCATGCACTCATGTACACATTGTACACGCACAGCCGAATACACGCACGCGTGCACAATTTGCTCATGACAGCGATTTGGCGATCGTTGTTCTTTGTTGTTTTCTTGTTGTTTTGATAATGTCGATGTGAATGAGTTTAACGTTTGTCCGTGTTCTGTGGTCTACCAATTGTTGGTCCGTTGCGGGACCTCCGATCGCCGCAACAGTCTCAAACCAAGAATGGTGCAGTGCACGGTGACCCGAGATCTATAAAATTATCATCAGGTGCATGCGGCTTAAAGAGTCAATGTCTGTAACGACCACACATCATCGGACAAGGCCAAATTACTGGTCTTAAAGTTGGCTCCCATTATCCCTGGGTGGACCTAATTCTCACGCTATGACAGTTTAGTCCAGACACAAGTCAAATGGTAGCAATCATCCCACCATTTTTCACAAATCTACACTCAACATGTACAAGGAGGAAAACTTCCTTCTGCCAGCGGAGCTCAACATGTACATGTAGTTGAAGACTTACTGTTGCACGTGGGTACGGGAGCAGACCAATGACCAGTCCCATTGCACTGGATAGTGTCAGGGCCATTCAAAGAAAATCTAGTAGCACACTGATGTTTGATAGTACTGTTGTACGGAAACAATGTGGTATTCCCTACCATTATCCCTTCCGATGATAGAGACCTTGCACCGTTCATAGGTACACCAGGGTCAGAACATGTGACATCTGCATGTGAATTGACAGGTTGAAAGGAGAAATACCAGCATGATGACACTGCCAAGTTACATGGCTCATTACCTGGTGAAGAATATTATTAAAATTTAGCGTCGTTATCACCACTATTCAACAGTGGTGATAGCGACATTGGCAATAGGAGTCAGAAACTTAAAAACCCACGTTAAGCAATACCTCATCTCCAATTTGACACTCGTTTTACTCACCAATTCACCCTCGTTCATACCACTACGGCAGATGTTGCAGTTCGCAAATCAATCTCAAGCCTGAAATCCGGGAAAGCGCCAGGGTTAGACGGTATCATGAACAACATGATAAATAAACTAGCTGCTGCGATTTCTTTTCCACTTAGCTGCCTATTAAATATTTTAACCTCTCCTTTACTCCCGGCAAGTTTCCTGCCGATTGGAAACTGGCTAAAATTGTGCCTATTTACAGCTGTAAGTCCCAAGCTCGTAACTATCGCTCATCTTCCCTCCTGTCCAGCATTTCCAAACTTTGCAAACAGCGCTTCTTTTTAATCCTTTACATGTATATAATCACAGTAATTTTCTCCTGCTCTGGATCCCGCGCAATCGTCACGCGAAATTACGCATCTATGAGCGACATGCACATAACCTGCTGGGAGAGTATGCGCGTACTATTCTGAGCACGTTTTTTCTTCCTTTTTTCGGCTCAAGTATAGCCGTATTTTTCATTGCAAAGCCGTCCTTGATTGTTGTGTTCATTGCTGAAACGAAGTGGATATTCAATCAAGAAAGCAGAGGACATGCATGTAAGAGCCTGATTGGATTTTCGCGTGACACAGGACGGCCACACAGAGACACTTTGCGATTTTCTAAATATACAATACCGTACGCACGATGCAGAGTTCATTTTTTTGCGATATCAAAATTGTTAGTTACCGACCACATCAAGCAGAACTGGATGCTACTCACAAGCTTACCGACGGTAAGGCTGCCGACACGACTGCACAAATGATCCCTGGCTTCACCAGACGCCAGAAGTCGAAAACCATGTCCTTTGCCGTGACGTCCATTTCCAAAAAAAGAACTCCATCTTCGTCTCAAAAGGCCTGACTTTCTCCAAATTCAACCGAGCCGGGCAGTCACGCTTTCTCAGATCGAATCATTTTTCGTTGTAGTAGTTGGAGGCCTGATCCTTGTTGTGGTAGATTTGGTGTCACGTGTTTGTTTCGTCTTGGTCGCTGTGGACACGCGTCATTGGTTGGTGGTGTTGTGCGCATGCGCGAAACTGTGTGAGCTAGTCTTTGGTCTGTCGTCTTGTCAAGATGTGGTCGTTTTCCGTGTTCTTGGTTATTCGTCAATAAAAAGAGTGTAAAAAGGCAGTCCAGTGGTGGCGGTTGAGCTGATGCAGTGATGGAGAAGTAGTGTTAGACTAACAACTACAACATTCGGCGCCCAACTATCTCTCGACGCGGAGTTCTGCCTCCGCAGCTCACGACCCTGAGATGTGTGTTGCTCCCGTCACTGCTGGACTGTCCTTGTTTATTCGTCACCCCTGTCCGTGTTCGAACGTTCGTCGTGGAGCTGTGTCGTCGTGCTGTGTCGTCGTGCTGTGTCGTCGTGCTGTCTCGTCGTGCTGTGTCGTCGTCCGGTGTCCCGTCGTAGTCCCATCGTCGTCGTCGTCCCGTCGTCGTCGTCTACTCAATTCGATCAAGCTGACGCCCTCCGCTGAGCTGTGTTCAAGTGTCGCTGTGCGTCCGCCGTTTCGTTGTCCTGATACGAGTGGAGTATCAGCTTCGCAGTTGGCTTCCTGCTGCTCCGAAGTCGTGTGCTGGCTGGGAATGCGCCGCCTTTCTTCTCTCCACATCTCTCTTCTTTTCTTTGTTTTCCGGTGAGTGTTTATGTGTGTGCATGCGTGCGTGGATACGGGAGTTGGTTTGAATTGCTACTTGTCTTGGGAACTGGCGTCTGATCATGGTGAACCACGGTTGGTTCTCCTTGTGGCAGTCCACATCGAAGGCAACGAACGTCCGATCAGGGTGAGCCCCGGTTCATTGCTGGGAGCTAGACTCGCTGCTTGTTTGTCGTTGCCATGTATATATTTTATTTATTTTTGTTTTTTTCGGTGACAGTCATGGGTTTGGCTGGCGTTGTGTGGATGGGCAGGGCTCATCGGTTTTTAGGCTTAGGTTTAGCCTGTGTTTTTTTGTGTGTGCGTGGCTAGACAGCAATGCAGTGTTTCTTCTCTTCTCTTTAACATTCACCTCTCTTTCTTTCTTCTGGCTTTGGTTGCCCTGTTTTATTCTGGGGAGCTACATGCGTTGGTCCTGTGGCTACTTTTGCTGTTTGCGGTTGCGTCTCTCTATGCGTTGGTCCTGTGGCTACTTTTGCTGTTTGCGGTTGCGTCTCTCTGCGTATTGTGTTTTATTTGGTCATACCGAGGACGGTATGTGTTTTTTTGGTCGGGATATTGTGGTAGATTTGGTGTCACGTGTTTGTTTCGTCTTGGTCGCTGTGGACACGCGTCATTGGTTGGTGGTGTTGTGCGCATGCGCGAAACTGTGTGAGCTAGTCTTTGGTCTGTCGTCTTGTCAAGATGTGGTCGTTTTCCGTGTTCTTGGTTATTCGTCAATAAAAGAGTGTAAAAAGGCAGTCCAGTGGTGGCGGTTGAGCTGATGCAGTGATGGAGAAGTAGTGTTAGACTAACAACTACAACATTGTCACTACAGTAAAACCTGTAACTACAGACCACCGTGACTAGCGACCAGCCTGGTACTACCGACCACTTGGCCAGGCACGGACGGTCTCACATTCATAATGCACTGTGACTAGCGACTACCTGCTGAACGTGACCAGCGACCGCCTTTTCTTGTCCCAAAGACGATTTTTGACCTGTAACTAGCGACCGCGATGTAGGAAATCAAATGTTGCTCGAAGCTCCTTCTTGAAATTTTGCTGATTTTCCATGGTCCTGAAAGGACTCTTTCAATACTACAGCTGAACAAATGAACGCAGGTCATTTTGACCGTGGAGTCGGTGTGGACTGCACTATACCTGTCAAAATTTCAAGCGCTGTCAAGGATAAACATGTCAGATAGGAAATGTTTTGGAGAGTGCATCGAAAGTAACGTCGTAAGCTAGTTCGTCGTCCAGTATACTCGTCCACAAGACTTCTTCGCTACTGGGGACGATGGGGGTGATTCAGCTTCGCTCTCGACATCAACATCAGATCCCAAAAATTCTCATCTTCGCTCAGCAGACCCGCCGTCATGGCCTGGCTGATAACCTGACCAAGCCCCGGCCATGCACAGCGATCGTCTGGCTCTGCGAGCTACCCTAGTATCACTGGACACGGACATTGTCAGTCTTTGCACGGTAGCTACTTGAACTAGACTGCCAAACAAGTGTTTGAAAGATTTTTAGAAGATGATCGCCACCGATTCATGAATGAAGCACAGCGTAAATACGCTCGACAACAACATTATTCATTCCGTCATTTTTCATTTTTTTTTACGAAAACCCAAAGACATGTTTTAGCTGACCGTGGCCCATACATAGTTTAAAAAGATTATTTTCTTTCATTGCTACCGTAAAAGCCCGTAAATACGCCCTCAACCGGCGTACGCGCCCAGGTGCCCTGTGCCAACACTCTTGTCCCATCTTCTAGCCCACATCCGTGTGAACGCCCATGGGTGACGACACGGGCCCAATAACAGTTACACAGCACCGTGCACGCACAGCTCCATGTGCATGTACGGTACTGTAGTATAACTATAGTGTACAGTGCACTGTGCTAACCGTAAATATACCTTTCCCTGGTTTGATAAATAATCTCTGTTAACCAGGTACTTTATTCCCGTAGCTATGCAGAAGACGTTACTTCAGTAACGTATGGCGCTAGCCAGGGTCCACACAGCTTTAATTCCCGTAGCTATGCAGAAGACGTTACTTCAGTAACGTCTGGCGCTAGCCAGGGTCCACACAGCTTTAATTTGGTATTTGTTTGTTTGTGTGTTTGTTTGTTTGTTTGTTTGTGTCACGCCTGGCGCTATCCCGTATCTGTCCCGTATCTGTCCCGTATCTGTGACTACAAAGGCTCTACAGGATTGTACATAACAGCTGTCCACAATATTTGCGGGCTCCTGTATCTGTCCCGTACCGTACCAATATTCGTCGTATTATGCATACGACTCCCTGATGTAGAGTGGGATTTGGAAAGAAATAGGGAGACGAGGAGGAAATTAAATTAGAATAGACGCCGATAAGGTGATAGGATGCGTCAGCATAAACATACTTTGGAAGAGAGATCCCGTCGTCTCCAAAATAAGCGTGAACGAGCGATTTAGTGCCGGTCACAGGAAACGTCGGAAGAGAGATCCCGTCGACTCCAGAACGCCCGTGGTCGGTAGAGTCCGGCGGTACCAGGCAACGTCAGGACAGACATTCCGTTGAGTCCAGAACGCCCGTGATCGGCAGAGTCTAAGCCGGTCCCAGGAAACGTCAGGACAGACATCCCGTCGAGTCCAGAACGCCGTGATCGGCAGAGTCAGCGCCGGTCCCAGTAAACGTCAGGACAGACATCCCGTCGACGTGCAGAAAAACAAAATCTGCAGCCTCTTTTGCCGTCGAACAGGATACGTATTTATATAGGAGACTGTAAAGTTATGTAATGTCCAAATTTCGACGTGAGCAGCAGGTCACTCGCGTTGATTGTTTCGACGTGCGAGCCAAATAACGCGAGCTGAACTTTCGCGTCGCAGACATCCCGTCGACGCGCAGAAAAACTAAATCTGCAGCCTCTTTTGCCGTCGGACAGGATACGTATTTTAGGAGACTGTAAAGTTATGTAATGTGCTCCTCAGGCAACCATGCATTCGGCGTCGTCATTGGCTCAACAGGTCAATGTAGACGTATTACTACAAAAAGGCCAGAAAATCCGATTCCTGTATTAAAATCAACTAATGTTCGCTGGCGATTTAATTTCGCTGATTTCGCCGCTTGGTACCAACCGGACAAAGTAAATCG